CCTCCAAATATGTGCTGGACCACTGACTTCGCTCTATCTTTTCCTCAAAGATGCTTTCTAACTTGCCCTTCCCTGCATCTTTTATCTCCCTCTGACTCATTACTCACTTGATATCAAGGACAATTTTCAAATCTAGATCACATCATTTCTCTACTTAACACTTTAATTATTTTTGGACTTCACATAGAACAAAATTTAAATGAGTAGTGGTTACTTGGAACAACCATTAGGATACCACTAGGAACCTCCACATTCCATATCTAAGTACCTAGGTTTAAGTCAGAACTCAACTACTGACTATAATTTACTGCAAATGAATACCATGGGCAGCAGTAATGGTTCACATATGTCACTGCTACCCATGGAGGAGAGCCCGACTGCATCCCACTCCTGGTTTAGTCTTACTCGGGCTTCGCCACTAAGGCATTTGGGCACTGAACCAGAGAATGGAATGGTTTTTCTCTCTCCATGTTTGCTGGCTTTCTTTCAAACAAAAAAAAATCTATAAAATAAATTTTAAAACGAAGCTAAGGTCAAATGAAATGCTAGACACTTTCGTTCATTTTTTAAAGATGTATTCATCTATTTGAAAGTTGGTGAGGGAGAGACACACAGCCCGGGTGACCCTTTCTTATTTCAGAAGACGAATGTAAATATCCGCTGTGCAATAGGCACGCCTACTTTCCGTACCTAGAACATCTTCCACATGAAGCCCTTATGGAGCCATTTTGTTTCCTATAAATGCTCTTAGCCAGGATAGAAGCTAGCTCATTCTTATCCTACGAAATGTGCAGCTGAAATAACTCCTGGCCCATTGGTGTATCTTCTTAATCACAAATTTGGCCCAAAGATTTGACACTAAAGCAGTAACTTCTATTTGACAATTATAATACATTTAATATTCAAATATAAGAATATCTGATTTGAACATATTTAAATATTTTTAAAGATTTATTTATTTTTATTGGAAAGGCAGGTATACATAGAAGGAGATACAGAGATAAAAATCTTCCACCTGCTGGTTCACTCCCCAAGTGGCCACAGCGGCTGGAGCTGAGCCAAGCAGGCAGCAGTCAGGAAATCTTGGGTCTCCAGAAGTCTTCTTGGTGCAGGATCCCAAGGCTTTGTGCCATCCTTTATTGCTCTCCCAGGCCACAAGCAGGGAGCTGGATGAAAAGTGGAGCAACTGCAACAGGAAACAGCGTCCATTTGGAATTCTGGCATAGGCAAGGCAAGGATCCAGCCACTAGGCTACTGCGCTGGTCCCAATATTTATATTTTTTCAAGGAAAAAGTACAGTTCACTAGTGTGTTAGATAGCTTTGAAGTCTCTATCTTTAGGGCTTCATGGCATCTCCAATCTTTCTTTGCTCTTAGGTGAAACCTGATATAAAAGTAAAGAGTCACAAAAGGAGCTTCTTAAAATTCCAGTTACAGGAGCTGCTCGTATGGTGCAGGAGGCTAAAGTGCAGCCATGTCTTCTTAAAAAAAAAAGATACTGAATAGCTGTTCCTTGAACATTCCTAAAACATTTCATTATAGTTCTCTAAATTGCATAATCAATAGTATTCAAGTAATCAGCATTAGTAGGCTCATCAACAATATCCACGCTCCTTAATACCAGAGACCACACAAATAAAATTGGAAAAAAAATATGCCTCAAGGGAAAGTGACAGTTGGTTATAAAAAATGAGGAGGGACAAAAGATTTCGTTAACTCCCAAATGCAAGTTTACACCTTTCCTTTCCCAGCAGACTCACCTTCAGTCATTTCCTTTTTTGTATAACTTATAGCATTGTTTTTACTCCTGGTCAAAATTAACACTTAGAGGAAACAACGAATTCCTTTCTACTTTGTCATAAGCCCAAGACTAGTGCAACATTTTCTGTAGAGATGACAAATTTTATATTACAAAGTAGGAGAGACAGAAGGGACACAGCTGGAGATTTTAGTTCACAGGTTGAGCTTGCAGCAGGGGAGATAGAATAAACTTTGGACTTTGAAATAAATCCAACCTATAAATCACCAAGAATAAATAAAACTGAAGAACAATTTAGTAGGAGCCTGTGAGAGGCTGTGACGCTGCAAGCATGAAGGTCTGTGTGACGGCACCGCCAGTGTTTTTACGTATGTCGCTCCTTTTCTGATGAAGGACGCATATTTCCTGACACCATTTGCTGTTTGTGGGACATTACGCCATTCTCTTTGGCATGCCTGATCAACCTTACCAGTACCACTCTTCCTGGACCATGTTTCTTCCTCCAACTTTTTATTAGTCAAAAGACCTCGGATATTGTCATTTAATCTGCAATATTGACTTTGGCCCTGATCACTTAAATTTGTTGCAAGAAGCAAGGAGATTCCTGTGAGAATAGGGAGTGGCAACAAGGAGTTGTTTTTGGCAGTATTCTCTGAGACAAGGTGGCCAACTGCCTCACTCCTGGAAAGCAGGAGAAAGTACGCAGAATATGGAGTTAATTCTCAAGTAATTTTCTTAACGAGCTTATTAATGAGAAAAGAGTGGTGTGGTGACCTTAAATCATCTCGATTTTTGATATGCAACAATACCCTACAGTGTTAAGAAACAGAACTTACTTAAACTTCAAGGCTATCTTGTTGAACAGCAAGTTACTTTGTGGAGGTTCCCAGATTAAAAAAAAAAAAATGGCCAAAACAGCATACAGGCCACTGAAAAAGAGATGAACGTACAACACTTTGGGCCCAACCCTCTCCCCTGTTATCTGCTGAGTGTGCTGAGGCCTTCATATTTTGAACATGCTGTGTATGAAGATGCATGTGACTGAACCACAGTTGCATAGAAGAAGCAAGAACATCCCTTTCCTTGCCAAGCAACTAACTCATGTCCCACTTCCAACTCTGCTTTCCATCCCAATAAATACCTCCTAGAAGCTATGATGGGGGTCAGATGTCAGTTTTGCCCCTGACTCAGTGCTTGGCCACCTTACAATGAACTTTTCTTTTTCTCAAAGGACATGGGCTCTAGTGTTTGGCTTCCTCATCGCAAGCAAAAGGACTCAAGGTTTTCTAAGGTGCATAACCCTCTAGACTCCATTTTGCCCATGTTAGCCTAGTTAGATGACCTAACTGTTCACTGTACTTGATAGACTACATGGTTTAGTAACACAAGGCGACAGCTTTGAGAGAGGAGTTGTTGGTGTTCCTGTTCTCTTGGAGTTAACCATTGGCAAGTTACTGAGTATCTCCGAGTTCCAGCTTACTCTTCCATAAAAAGAAAATGAAAAAAAGGAATCATATTATTGTTCTAGGAATCAAATAAAATAGAGACATAAGACTTTCGCAAAATGTGAAGTTATATCCTGGTAAACCATGTTATTCTGTTTCTGTCCCCCAAAGAGTTAAATTTGTATTGATTTATCTATTCCTTAAACTGTCCTCTTTGAAACTAATTATTTATTTGTAAAACTAGAAGACCAGGCCCAAGGTAAAAATAGTGTTCTGAAAAGGAAACAAACGTGGCGCCTTGGTTAGTGAGACCCTACAAGAACCCGACTGATACATAGCTTTCACCTTCATTATTTTAAGCAGCAGCAATTGAACAGCATGTGGTACACTTGTAAGCTCTGTTTGTGTCCCATCAGTTAATCTCTTGGTGGAATGTCGTTAGATCACTAGCATCTAACAGGTGGATGAACTCAGTGTTGCTGGAGTGAACAGGTGTTTCACAGTTGGAAGCTGCCAGAGAGCCAAGGTGTGAGAGTGAACCATGATTTCTGAAATTAGCTCTGGTCATTTTAACCCTGAAAAACTATCTTATGGGGAAAATTTTCAGTGGATGTACAAGGCAATTGGCAAATACCAGATTGAATATATCACTGGAAAATTCAAAGGGGGAACATCATTGGTGGAGCATACAATTCCATATCTGAAGTGCAATTACACCCACACAATTTCTAATTTGCCTGTAGTTTAATGTCTTGCACAGGATTATCTTACATATGTCTGTGAACTACTCCAGTTGAGCTGAATAAAGCCGTGCCTATTTTTATTTCTGCCTGGTATCGGGGGCCAAATATTTCAAACTAGGAGCCCAATCTATCAAAAATAATCTTCTACAGCACAAAAAAAATCCTTTAAACACAAGAATATTTCGCTGTTAGGAGAAAGCTTTTAATGCATTTGGATTTGGTAAACCAATTCTTCACCATTAGTGGTAGTTTTCCAAACTTGACACATGAAACTTTGGGTAAAGTAGTTGATTTCTGTCCATTTGACAGCTTTCATGCTATTAAAATGTCTGTCAGGTTGTTTAGGGGTCATGAGGACCTGCACATCGCTCAGCCATGCGCATCCTCCCTCAGGCAAGCAGCTGTGTTAGCTGTCAGGCAATCACCCAGGCGGAGGTGCTCCTCCACAGGACCAATGCCTCAGATGCTCCCCAGCTATCGGCTGCCCCTTGTCTCCTGGCAGTCATTGCACAGGCTCCTGCAAGGTCTTCCAGTACTCCAGGTAACTAAGCACTAGCGTCCTTCTCTAGCAGCTGGGAGGTGAACTGGTTAACTGGGGCGATGCTTCAGCCCAAACGCTCACAGCTTCCCTTCACATAAAGGTATTTACTGACATTTCCTTTGTCAATCTTAACTGGGGTTTAAGAGACAAGCTCCATTCGCCTCTAACCCATGGCTGTTTTCCTGAAGGAATAACGTTGAAACTTTGAGAGAATTCTTTTCCGCCTGTTTATTTAAACACACATTCACTCACCTTTCTACCCTGGGTCTAGTGGAGAGCCTCGCCCCGCGGGAGGGAAACGCCCCCTTTTTCGTGACGTCGCCAACTTTTCACGGTCCTCTCGCGAGACTCCCACGAGTTTTTTTTTTTTTTTTTAACTTTGGGAATTGCGCAGAAGCGACTCTTGAAGCCAGTCCGGGAGGAAGGGGGCGGGGCGCCCCTGACGTGCGCGTTCACCTCGACCTCACGCTCGTGCGCGCCTCCGGCTCCGCGCTGAGGTTTCTGGGCCCCCGGGCACCACAACACTACCTGCAGCGCGCGTGCCTGCTTGGGGTGGACAGTCCGTGAGCAGCGAATGGACGCCTGGGCGCCGAGGGATCTTTAGAGGGGTCCGGACCCGGTGGACACTCTGGTTCAGGAGATCCGGGAAAGAGACTTGGGTAAGCTCCTGGGTGCTGCAGGGTGAGGGGGCAGAGGTCGGGGACGGAAGGCGTGTTGGATCTTTAGGGCTGTGCTGGGAGGACGTGGGGTGTCCTGGAGCCGGGAATGATGCTCTAAGCGGGAGGAAGGCCACCGCGCGACTCCTCCCGGCTCCCAGTCCCAGGCGCGCGGGCCTCTGAGGCTTACCTGAGGTGGGAGACGTGGCCGGCTTCTCCGGGTGGCCAGGGGCCTGCGGGGTAATGGTACGGGCGTCCCCCGAGTGCCGGGCGGGACCCCCGAGTGCCGGGCTGGACCCCCTCACCCCCTCAGTGTTCCGCACGGTCCGCCCTCACCCCTCTCAGCCCTGCGGGGCTTTGTGTGTCTGGCCTGGGAAGAGCAGGTGGACGCCAGCAGCGTGGCCGCTTTGGGGTTCTGGGGATCCTGGGAAACGAGGGGCACCCCTGTGGTCCTGGGGCTGAAGCGGGCAGGCGCCCCGTGAAAGGCGAGGCTTCTCAGTGGGTCTCTTTGGAGGTTCTCAGTGGCCTTGGGGATCTGCTCACTCAAAAGCTCCCCTAGTGTCGCACATTTTCACACCGTGGCAGCCGTGGCCGCATAGTGACAGGTGGCAATCTTGGCTGTTTTGACGTTTGCCTGCTTGAACTTCAGTCGACTTGAGGCTGTATCTAGACAAAATCATTTTAAAGCTATGGCTGCTATTTTAAAATAATTGCAGTGGATGCTAACAGGGACGGCGAGACCTGCTTGAATAGAAACAATAATACCTTTACTGCCACCCCCCCCCCCCCAAAGACTGTGGGTACACAGTCAGGAACCATAGTGGAAGCTGGGCCGGTTTGAAGGACCCGTTAGCCAAGTAAGCTGGACTTTAAGAGTTAGTGGTTTCTCTTTAAAGATCCTATTCTGTAGCTGCTTTTGACCAGCCCCAAAGCACTGGACTCACACTACTTATAGAGATTTTGAGTCTTAGCTAGCAGGATTTGGGAGAAACAGTTGGCTGGTATGAACGCTTCTTAGGAGGACGTTTTCCGGGTTTATGTAACTGATGTTAAAATCAGTAGACCAGAATACTCTCCTCCAGCCAGAGTCATGACCACAGGAAGTCAGCATCGTGATAATGTGCTAGGGCCTTAGGAGCTTTTCAGTTTTCGGTAATAATTGGATTTCTCTTGGGTAACACACTGCCTTGGCCCTCAGTGTAGCAGATAGGGACTTTGTGTAGGGCTACCATGGATTTGCTGTAATTGAAGATTTGTGTGTATCTTAATGAAGAGGTAATTTGGAGGGAAAAAAATTAATTCAGATTCATTGGTTGTGTTAGTAATGTAAATATTTTGTGTTTGTTTTTCTAGTAGTCTGTGTTTTGCTCGGTACTCTCTACCTCCTTCTATGTCAGAAGCCATGAAGTGTAATTTAGTATCACCTGTAATCTTCAGGAATGCAAATAAGAGATTGCTCCTGAAAGCAGTGTGAGCAAACCCTTCCAGGTCCTTCAAGTGAGAGAAGACACTCGGGGATTAGAGATGAATTTCCCCTTCTCTTATGTGTCCTTTGTGCGTTGGTTCTGACGGGGCGTTGAGCGGGGTGTACTGTTGCTGCCCAGTTTCCACAGCTCAAAAGCAGCACTGTGGCAGGTGAGAGGGAGAAAGACTCTTAACTCCCCTGATCCTAGACGGCTTTCCAGGGAAGGTGTGTCCCTAGTGACAATTTTGCAGAATCACATTTTGCACAAGCTCTGATATTTCTGGGTAGAAGAATGGGTAGAACAAAATATATGGGATTCATTAGTGATGAAGAAAGCAAGAACGATGTGGGATATGGTTAAAAATGTATACAATTCCACCAGCACTCACTTTGCCGGTTACCATTTAGGGTATAGGTGTCTGGTTAAGTAGTATCGTATTTGGTTCAAAAAATTGTCGCGGAATATCGGTCATTTCTGGAAAGAGTCACAGAGGATGGGAGCAGTAGATTGCAGGTGTTTGCTCTGTGGAGAACTGAGCAGAGGAAGGGTGTTGCTAAGAATTTTGGTATTTACTTTTACCAACTTACCATTGTCATTGATAGTTAACCCCAACACTTTTGTCTCTAATGTTAGAAGAATCAGATTGAAAGCAAACATTGCAAATCGTAGCACAGTACATAATTTAAAAAATAGAGGAATATGCTCTGGTGTTAATAACATATGTTACAAAATGGTGTAAGAAATATGGCACATACTGTTTTAGTTAGGGCTGGTGGTGATGGGAGCCTAAGCCAGTCAGCCATTTTCCTACTGCTGTATCTTTTGGAAGGAAAATAGAGGGTTTGACTGAGTGCTGGAAAAATGTGAGTAGTTCCTGGGCCCTACTCAGAGCTATTCTGGTTTAATTATCTGGCTAATAAATGGGTGTTGAGATTTTTTAAAGTTTTTAAAAGTTGTTCAGGTGACTGTAACATACAGCCAAGTTGTGGAAGCAGAGATCCTGCCACATAAAATTTGATTGATGCAGCTTAGTGTGTCCTCAGGAGGACGAATAAAGGCTCCTGCTTGCTGAATGCATGCTAATTTCCTCTTCTGCATCGTTCAACCCAAGTTATTTTGAATACAGCCTTACTATCATCCCTATTCTTGAGATGCAGAAACTGTCAGAGAAAGGTGTATTCTTTTCTTTAAAACTCATTGCTTTGGTAAAGCTGGTTGTTTTTTGGTATTTATTGGTGTGTATCTGCCATGTTGTTAATATTGTAGTTGATGTGATGTATTTTCTAAGAGACCTGTTCCCTTCTTATTTCCTCCCAGTGCTCCCCTCTCCCTGTTCTGTGCTATGTGCAGTTCCACCCAATAAAAAACTGGAGTGTTATTTTCCACCTCTTGACTTTGGAGTCGTCGATGGGACTGGCCTTGTTGATTTTGATGTACCAAGCATTCTGTTAAGTTCTGGTGTAATTGGATTTGTTCTCTTACACCTGAAACTGTGATGCCATGAGAACTCTCTCCCATTAATTTGCTGATCTCAAAATGAGAAGAATATTTTAAGCATACCTAAGCTACTTATCCAGAAAACCAACCTAGAGTGTCAATGCCAAGAGCTTTGGGGTGATGTGTATGGCAGCAGACTGGCAAGCTTGTATAGCCTCACTTAGAGTTCCCGCATAGTGACCCAACTCCAGGGTTCTAACTTGTGTTCTGAGAACTGCATAACAATGCATACTAGGCAAATGAGGGTTTTCCATATTATTTCTTCAAGATAAGAAATGAAATGCGTAAAAAGTACTTAACCCATAGACTGAGGCTGAGATTGATCATAATCTGTCACCTGCACATTCATCAATCAAGTGAATTCTCATGACTGACTCAGACCAGCACTGTTTGGTGGACACCTGCTATTCCGTAAATGTTCAGTGTTTGTGCTGTAAAATATAGTAACCCCTATTTACCATGGGTTGTTAACTGCTTGAAATGGGACCAATGAAGCTAAGAAATTTAATTTTTTTTTAAGATTGCTTGATTTTATTTGCAGGAGTGTCAGAGAGAGAAGAGAAAACAGAGAGCAAGCTCTTCCATTTGCTGATTCACTCCCCACATGGCCACAATGGCCAAAGCTTGATCGCATGTGAAGCTGCAGGTTGCTTCTAGGTCTCACACAAGTGCAGGGCTCAGAGATTTGGGTAGTCTGCCACTGTTTTCCAAGGCCATTAGCAGGAACTAAAGATTGAGAGTAGCAGGGACTAGAAGTAGGGTTCATATGGGAGACTGGAGACCCAGACTGAGAATTAGCCATCCCTCAAGGAACCAAGTTTGTAATGCTTAGTTTTATTCAAAGTTAATTAGCCACCTACGTTAGTAGCTAGACAAGAGTTGCTTTAGCCAGTAATAGAAAGAAACTATGAAACCATCTTCCTTAGAGACACAGGACTGCCATATGCCTAAATAAAGGAAGGATTCTGTTAGTAGGGAAATATACAGAACTTAGTTAATATTATGGCAATTTTCTTTTGTGGTTACTGACCCTGTTCAGTTTTTCATACTTCTTGGGCCAAATTTTATGATTGCTCATTTTCTTAGAATTGTTAGGTATATTACTATAAAGCTATTATTAATATTCTCAGAATCTTAACCTTTAGTAAGATGTAGTTCACATATGAAATTTGATAATATTATGTGTACCAGGATGAGTTTGGTACCCATCATGTAACCATTGTCACCCCGCCACACACACACACACACAACATTCCGTACAGTTAAAGCTTTCTCTTTGCTGTTAGTTTCTTCTTCCTATTTTCTGGAACTGGTAACCAGTAAATCATGTCCTAGGTTTTTTCTTTTCTGGAATTTCAAGTTAGTGGGAGCACAAAGCAGTCTTTAACATCTACCTTCTTTTGTGTATCAGAACTCTTTAAAAATTCACCAGTGTTGGGGCTGTGCCGAGACGTAGCAGGTAAAGCCACTCAGGCAACTGATACGGGGCCGTCCTGGCTGTCCCATATGTGATGTCTAGCTCCATACTAATACCCCTAAAGCAGTGAGAGAAGGATCGAGTGCTGGGACCCCTGCCACCTCTGGGACAGACCTGAAGAAAATCCTGGCTCCAGGCTGCGGGCCAGCCAGCTCTGGCCTTCGTGGCCATTTTAGAAGTTAACCAATGAATGCGAAATTTCTCTGTCTCTGGAATTCTACCTTTCAAATAAACAAATTAGTCTAAAAATATTGCCCCTGTTGTTTCATGTTTTAGTATCTTTGTAATATTGTGAAATATTTTGTGCCACAATTTGTGCATTCATGCTCCACCTAATGAACATTTGTGGTGTTTATAGTTTTGGCTTTTATTAATAAAGCTACTGTTAATATTCAAATTTATTTCCTTTAGTGGTTTATTTTATTTTATTTTATTTTATTTTTGTTTATTTTTCTTTGGGGCTCATACCTAAGAATAGGATTACTGGACAGCATAGTAAGTGTGTATTTTATTATTTTGAATATGGAAAAATTTCAAAAGTATGTCTGCTGTGTTAGGATGTTTGAGAGCTCATTTGTGGTTGCACAATGCCCTCAGACTTTAAATGTTAACTGTTCTTCAGTCTGAGCACTGCTCCCCCTGGAAAATAGATACCTTGCCTTTAAGAGTTAAGTGATCCGAGATTGGCCACTGGGACTTGACCTGTTAGAGGAGCTTGGAGAACTTCCATCAGGACTCAGTCCTTGCAAGTGAGTTCAAGAACTAAGGCTTGGAGCAGCCCAGACCAGGTCAGATTAGGATACTCGCTGGCATACGTGTGGGTCAGATCTAGCAGTGTGTCAGGCTGTACCAGTTTACAGTACCCACTGACAGAAGTGAGAACCAGGATAGGGTCCAGGACAGTCCGTTTGGGGCTGCAATACCAGCCACTTAACAATAGGGCCAGGACTGGGGGCTGTCTGGGCTGGGTGAGGCAGTAGCACCTGCCAACATGAGCTGCAACTAGAGGAAGGCTGGGCTGAGCCAGGCTGCAGTACCTCCTGGTGGATGCCAAGGTGAAGCGAGCCATGCCAGTCTGGACTGAAGCTCCTACTAGCACAGGTAAGACCTGGGATGAGTTGGGGGTGAGCCCAAGAGGGGAGTTGAAGAGACACCCCTGCTGGGCCACTGCTTCTGCTGGTAAGCTTGAGAGCTGGGACTGGGGGCAGAGCAGGCTGAGCAGGGCTACAGCACCCATCACTCTTCCTGTGACCTGGGTTCAGGAGGAGCCAGGCTGAGCTAAGTGACTGAACCCACTGGTACATACATGAGCAAGAGTTAAGTGCAGGCTGGTTGGGCTTTGCCTCAGCATCAGCTGGCAAGCGCAGGGACTAGGGGCAAGTACTGCCAGATTAGACCATAGAACCACCTAGAAGACACAAGATTCAGGGCTGGTGGTGTAAGCAGTGAGCACTTCTCTGATGGACGGCAACTCCCATTGGTGAGCATGAAAACCAGGCCTGGGGATGGGCCTGGCTAGACAGGCGGTGGCACTTGCTGTCATGAGTGTGGGCTGGATAGTGGGGTCTGTTGGGTTGAACTAGGCTCCTAATTCCATTGATGTGTATGAGAGCTGAATGGGCTGTGGAGCAGACTGAACCAGTCTGCTGCACATATTGGCATGCATAGGAACCAGTACGCAGGGCGGGCCTATTGGGAATTATTGGGTGTCGCTCTGACTAGGCTGAAGTTCAGCTGGTGTACATGAACACAGTGTGGTGGGCAGGGTTAGGCTGTGCTGCAGCATCTATTCATTTACATATGAGATGGGCTGGGGACAGAACTGACCAGGTGACTTTAACAACCAGTGTGTGTGTTGATGTGGGTGATAGACTGAGCTGAACCCCACACTAGCTGGCACACACAGGAGTCAGGTTGGGGTCACTTTTGGAAAGGTTTCTTTGAGGACCCCCTTACTAGATCACTGGGCTCAGAACTCCAACCATGTGAAAATCAGGATGCGTGGTCTGATCATGGAGTGCAAGTGTCACAACTGGGTCTCCATGGCTGCCGAGGCCTGTATGGTGGCCTTTTTGCCCAGATGCCCATAGGGGACATGACAGCCAGTTCATTGAGGCCTGCAGAGGACATCTAGTACCATGGAGGGCCGAGTAAATTTGATGGCTCTGCCAGATAAATGTCTGGGCAGATCAAGACTCTAAGGCGGAGTCTATCAACCAGTGGACCTTGGAAGGATTTCCTCAACTTTATAAGAACAAAATCAGAAACATCTCAAAACTATCAAAACCACTTAAGCAGTACCCTCAGGACATGTTCCACATCAGGGACCCTGGGGTGACCTTGGGTGACCTTCCCCCATTCTGATGCAGTTGGGAGTTAGTGAGGGCACAGGGAGCTGAAGCTAAATGCAGATTGTGTGTGTGCTGAATTAGGGTCCGTGGCTTGTTTATGTTTCTTGTGTTTAGTGCAGTGCTGAGGTCGTGGTGCGGACTCAGCACATACCTGTTGGATTTATTTTTAAAAATAGGATTATTGAAACAAATTCTTAAATTACATTCGACCCCAGATTTATTTGTAAACTTTTTATGCCAAAACAGACAACAGCAGTCATTCTGATCTTATTATTTGATCTCACTGAGTCACTGTATGTTTCATGTTGGAATTAGTTCATGTTTCGGGAAGAATACAGTTTGAGGTCCGCCTCGTAGGTTGCACTCGGCCTGGAGAGCCTGAAGCTTTTTCCTTCAGTCCAATGCCCCTGACTTTCCTTAGGTCTCTGTCCCACCTTCCCTGTTAATGCTCACCACCTTGTTCTCGCTCACTGTCTCTCAATGCTTCCCATTTGCTTGTCCACAAAAAGAAATACTTTTCCTGTTTGGGAAGGCAGATGCACCTCAAGAATTCTTAAGTAAGGGTCAAGTGAAGTTTTGTTCATTCCTTTTAGATTGTGAAACAGTTGAAATTCTGTATTAACAATATGAAGTGAAATGCTGCTAAAACAGTTTAGATAATCATTTTCAGTTTAGTTGGACTAGTTGCCTTCCTGTTTTGTTGCTAAGCTGTAATTTTAGAATGCATTTTACTTTATACAGCAAGCAATCTTTACTCAGTGTGTCCGTTAAAGATGAATAAAATCATTGGAACTTATTTGCTGCAGGGAATGATAATGTGACTCCCTTAGCACTATTTGACAGTCAAAATCACCCGTTGATTTTTCTGTATCTGAAAATTTCATGTTATGTGTGTGGACTATGAGCTTCTGTTAAATTTCTCATCTGAAACAGTTAAATATTAATTTACACCTCGTGTTAGTATCCTTTCTGTTGTGTTTATCTTGCAGAGTTCCCAGTTGGCAAGCGAGAACATGAGCAGCCGCCGGAAACGCGCTCTCCCGGTGAAGGTGGACGAAGAAAAGCAGCAGCAGCTCCGCTGGAACATGCATGAGGACAGAAGGGACGAGCCGCTCACCTTAACCCACGATGAGCATCCCTGCCCGAGTTCGGGCTCTCGTCCTCCTCAGGGCATCCTTCTAGAAGATAGCTTAGAGAAAGAGGGGGCTCCCAGGGACGCGGAGAGGTGTCCAGCAGCAGGGAGGCCCTCCAAGTCAGCTGCGAAAGAAGGGACTGTCAGCCTTGATTCCTCCGTGGCTGTGAAGTTGAATATTGTGGTTTCTCCCCATAATGCTGATGATTCTTGGAAAGTATTACTGGGCGAATTAACTCTTCACCTTCCTCCGGAGCAAAGTTTAAGTGAAAATTTTTCTGAAAGGAGTTTTACATTGATGAGTTCAGAGTGGAGCAATCAATTCTGGATGTATATTCATTCAGAAAGTGAAAATGTAGAGAACGAAAAAAAAAACCTCAAAGAACCCGTCACTACCGATGGGAAGGGTATTCTAGTGGAATCATCTTTCAGTAATGACATGTTGGAAGATTTAGAATGGCTGCAGAAGAAGGGAAGACTCAGACTTTACCAGAGACCAGAAGGAAATTGTTGTATCAAGGTACTTGTTTCTCTGATGCTTTTACAGGTTCTCCCGCATTTCCAGTTCATTCTGAGGTTGACCTAGAAGGAAGATCTGAAAGCCAGCAAGCGCTTTGCTTGGTGTTTTGGATAAGTGTTGCAGCCATTCATTTCGGTCTGCTTTTTTGAAGTTAGCTTCCTGATTACTCTCTTCATCTCTTGATGATCCTGTTGCCCCTTTCCCTTAGTATAATACTTAGCCATTTATCTCCCTCACATCTTTCCTTTATAACTCCTATCTATTTGAATGACAGAATATGAATGTGAGTGGATTCTTTCCTGCCTACAGAATGAAGTCTGATCTTTCCAGTCTGACACACAGGTTCCTTCTAGGTTAGATCATTGCATTTCCTTAATTTCTCTGCTTTTTGTTTTATTCCCCACATTGCAGATCAGTTTGTCTCCTGTGCACGTCTACTATCTTTCTGTGTCTGCTTGTTCTCACAGTTCCCTCTGGACTACCCCTTCCCTTTCCCTACAAACTCTGTCATTCTTTTAATGCCCAGTTCTGATCTTTTCATAACCCTCCTGGGCAGTGTTTATGTACTGTTTCCCACAATATCTAACGCATGCTTTTATTTTTGTCTTGGTCACTATGGTATATTTGTATTTTAGGTCCCCCCCCCCCCATTAGACTATGAAATCTGTTATCCTCACAGCCTAGTTTAGAGAACTTTTGGTATCTAAGAAATTATCAGTGAATGAGTGAATTAGTTTCTGGTTTTGCAGTTCACTTGCCATGTAATGTTCTATGAATCACTTAAGTGCTCTAATTTCAGCTTCTTCCTGTATGAAATATAAATAGTATACATTCTTCTTACAGATTTGTTTTATAGATTAAGAAAGACTTGGTTTAATGGTTGAGATTCTGGTGGGATACCTGCATCTAATATTGAGTGTTTAGGTTTGAATTTCAGCTCCACTCCCAGTGAAGTGTCCTGCTCGTCACCTCCTAAGAGGACAGCAGGTGATGGCCAGTGGCTGGGTCCTTGCTGCCCATATGGGAGACCTCGACTAAGTTCCCAGGTCTGGGGTCATAGTCCTGTCAGGCTTCTGAGGAGTGAGCATTAGATGGCAGTGAATTCTTTTCTGGGCAATGAAATTATGTCATCAAGCACTCCCTCTTTTTATTGATATTGAATGCCAAAATTATGGGTCAGTGTTAATTATGTTACAATTTGTAGCTTGTCAGTCTGTGTTCTGTCTACCTTTCTTATAAGAGCAGTCTTGATCTGTTTTGTTTATCCTGGTCTTGATTTTCAAGAGCATTTAAACATTGACTGTCAGTGAGTGTGCCATCTCTGGGTGAGTGCAAATAGAAATAATGAAATCTTTGTCACTGACTCCTGTGTTATACAAGTAGATTTTTGTTCTTTGGTGAAAGAACACGAAAGTTTCAGTCACTAAAGAGACAGGCAGGCCCAGTATAATCTGAGGAAATCAAAGAAACTAATTTTTGCTGAGTATTTACTATGGGAAAACTAAAAGTAATCTTTTATAGGCCATATCATATAGACTTGTACCCATGTATAAATGAGAGACTTTGAAGGGGTGGGAATTCGTGCTGTGGCGTAATGGGATGACCTTCCACATCCCATGTGAGTGCTGATTGTCTTGATTGTTCTGCTTTCCCGCCAGGAGCTCCTGGCTTCTCCTTTTGGCTTAGCCCAGACCTGGCCATTGCAGCCGTGTGGAAAGTGAACCAGTGGATGGAAAAATCTCCTTTTGTCTAATAGTTGGCCTAATCAATCAGTCTATCCATCCATCAGTTGAGCTTTTAAAAAAATAAGAAAATTTGGGTAACAATAAATCAGTTTTTGAAATAGATTTAGCTCCTAAATATCCATGCTGGTATTTAAATGCAAGTATTTCAATTGAAAAATTCATGCTGTGCTGTTTTACTAGAGTCGAGATACTTGTTTGTTTCCCTGCACATCTTAGTATTAGATCCAGTATTTTGTATTCCCAAACCTAACTGTACAGGAATCCTAGCATGTGGTACACAATCTTCAGGGAAAATGAGCATTTTTAACCCAGTTAACTCATGAACTTGGATGTGTAGGATGAATTTATGATTAATAGTGAACATATGTACAAAAATACGGTAGGTATAGATTCAGTGTGTGTGGAGAAATAATCTGCATGCTTTTGGAAACTGACATTAATAAAGGGTGTTTTTTCCACTGTCTTCCTAAAGAATGACATTTTAATGAAAATTGTTTTATGTCGCTTATTTACAGATTGGAATTTATCTTTTGGAAGCTGGTCTAGCAAATCTAGACTATTTGAGTGATGCAAATTCAAGAATGAAAAAGTTCAATCAACTCATGAAAAGAGTGATGGAAAAGTTACACAATTTTGTGATTCCAGGTAATTTTTAAAGTAAACTCTAAAATTGCTATTACATAAAAGTTATGCATTTTGCGCCCAATTCCTAGATAAAGCAACAGGAAAAATGGGTAGTAAAACTGTAATAAAACTAAAAACTCCATAAAACTCAGTGTTTAGCAAATCACACTTATTTGAAATGGTCTCTTAATACAATTTGTTTCTTTACCATTTTTGTTTAGCTCTGTACTTAGTTTCTGGTGAGTATTCAACAGATGCTTGCAGGGTCAGTGTATAAGTCCTACAGAACAGTCCAAAGGTATCTGAGCTGGTTGGGATTTTTATGTTAGCCTTGTCTAAAAATCTGTCCCAGGCAGAGCTTCTTCGCTGGCCTTAACCCTGCCTGTTCTCTGCAGCAGCATGGTTAATATAAAGACTGTGTGACTTTGAATCCTTGGTCAGGACTGCAGTTTCAGAGAAGTGTCTGACAGTGGTCACCAAGGGAGAGTGGCTGCTTTGATGCAGCTTGGCAGCACTCCCTGAAAAGCAGCTACATTATTTCCAGATCTTGCCTTAATGCGCTGATGTTATTTCAAGGGCAAATTATAAAATACTTTCTTGTTGGAATATTTGGAAAAATCAGTTTCTCAGTTTGGTTGTTGATTTGTTTCTTTGGTGCATTCATGAATTTATAGACTCATATTAAGTCATTTTGCAAGCTAGATACATTGAGGAAAATTTCTGGCTTCAGGTAAGAAATGCTTCTAGTTACAGCTAGAGTTTAAAGTTATAAAAATTCCAATGTTTTATCAAAAATAACAACTTAAAATTTTAGACTGTGACTTCTAAGGAAAATTTCAGATTTATAATTAGGTCCTAATTATGAACCTTTAAAATTTTACATGATATACCTCTTTTGCTTAATAAAACTTTTTTTGAACAATTTTTATGTATAGAACATATGTGGTAGGACCTAAAATATGTATGGACCTCTTTGAGTGCAGTTCAATAATAAATGGTTCACATTTTCACTTCATTTATTTATTTATTTTTAAAGATTTATTTATTTTTATTACAAAGTCAGATGTACAGAGAGGAGGAGAGACAGAGAGGAAGATCTTCCATCCAATGATTCACTCCCCAAGTGAGAGCAACGGCCGGTACTGCGCTGATCCGAAGCCGGGAACCAGGAACCTCCTCCAGGTCTTCCACATGGGTGCAGGGTCCCAAAGCATTGGGCCGTCCTCGACTGCTTTCCCAGGCCACAAGCAGGGAGCTGGATGGGAAGTGGAGCTGCCGGCATTAAAACTGGCACCCATATGGGATCCTGGTGCGTTCAAGGCCAGGACTTTTAGCTGCTAGGCCACGCCACCGGGCCCTTCACATTTTCACTTTAAAATGAATCCTTTTAGTAAGGAATCAGCTGAAAGGGATTTGTAAATTTATTCTTGGAAGTTTCCCTTTTTCATGTTCTAATAAGCCCAAGTGTTCGACAGAGCAGTTGGGCTCACCACATGAATTTGATAGGTTTATGAATTTGCCTTAGAGCCCAAGCACACACTTCCTAGCTGCTGGTCCTAGCAAATACCTGTCCTTTGTAGCATAAGAAAGAGTGGAAATTTTGTTCTTTTTTTTTTTTTCAAGTATTACCGACTCAAAAGCCATAAGGTCAGAGAGACACATTGTTCATCGCCTAGTTCATTCCACAGGTGATCCACACCGGCCGAGGCTGGGCTGAAGCCAGAAGCCACAAGCTGCATCCTGTTCTCCCACGCGGATGACAGGGACTCGGGCGCGTCAGCAAGAAGTTGGTTCCGAAGCAGAGCAGTTAGAGACACTGTGAGAGTAGGATGGTGACTCCACCACTGAGGCTTTACCTGCTGTGCTACAATAGCAGCCCCAACGTGTCTTTTTAATCATAGAAAATTTATATGTAAATAGGGGTTTATAAAATATCAACACATAAAATTTAAATGTTATCCATTTGTAAGTTATAGAAGATGTTCCTCTTTGATTCCTTACAGGTTTGTTAACTTTCTTCATGAGCCCAACATGTGTATCTGAGGCCTTATAAAAACAAAGACAGTGTGGCTCTCAGTGAGGTAGGGGCAGCTGGACTTGAGCAATGGTAGTACCAGGCAGATCACAAGATGCCGCTCTGTCTCAAGTAGGAAAAGTTGTACAAACATAGAGGAAAAAGTAATTTCTAGCCAAGGAAAGCAAAAACAAAATATCTGAAAGAACAGATGTATTAAGAATAAGGCCTTTTGAGCAAGGTCCTTGACTTGAATAAATGCATGTTGTTTTCTTAGAATAAGAATTTCTTGTAATTACAAAAGATGAATTGGGTTTTGAATCTGTTGTTGGATATACAGATGTGATGGAAGAGGAGGAGGAGGACACTTCAGAGAGTGAGCCAGAGGGACAAGACATTGACGAACTCTACCACTTTGTGAAGCAGACACATCAGCAAGAAGCACGATCTGTCCAGGTGGATGTCCAGCATCCCGCCTTGAACCCTGTGTTAAGACCCTACCAGAGAGAGGCTGTCAAGTGGATGCTGCAACAAGAGCGTTTCAGAAACACTCCTGCTGATGGCAAGTATCAACTGTGTAAATACAAAATGGATTAGGGGATTATAGGAGCAAGATTGAAGATGGGGAAATTGATTATTAAAGCATATTGAAAAGATAGATTAGAATGGGTATTATTGTTGAAAAAATTATTTGCGAAGAAATCCTCCAAAATTAAAATCCAGAAGAATTCATTTGTAAATGCCCTGATTGATAAATGTTTAAGCCATTTTTTCCTGATAAAGCCTACCTTGATTGAACTTCTTAAAAACCAGCAAATTTATTCACGTGCTTTTCATCTAAGAATTGCTTTTATAGCCTGAAGAGTTGGCAATGAAGCAGTCATGTGCTAGAAGCTTTTCACAATTTGATGTAGAGTGTTAGTTGCCCGTAGCAGTCAGTAGAAGTGGGAGACTTGTGTATTACCTACTCAGTTCCTCCTACATTTGCAAGTTTTCATTTGCTTCACAGGATAAACAGGAGTGAAATGTCACCTGTTGAGTGTTTTCATGAAAGTGTAATGTGCAAGATATTTACTACTTTATCTTCACAGGATTAGACACAAGATAAGATTTTTTACATTGTTCTAGGGAGTGATTCCTAATTACAAGTATTTCCCATCCTACCTATATATAAATTTTTATTTTTACTACAAATAATTTGCTTTGCCCATGCATTGCATTCTCCTATCCAAAAGATGTTATTTTTTTTATGTAACTTTCCATTTGAACAGTAAGTATCAATTCATAGGCAATATTATTTTGCAGTATCATTTCGTCCATTCCTTCTGTTACTACACTCATATTGTGAACTAAGTCCCATATATTTTACCATTTGTTATTATTTCCGTTTATTTCATTGAAAGATGAAGGCTACTTTAAGTAGGTATGAAAATCTATAGTAATGGCTTTTAGCACATAGCAAATCCTTAAAATATCGCCAAATCAGTGTCTTACCCACTGCTCCTACCTGTCCTTTTCTCCTGCTTTCTCTGCTGTCTTGTCTTTCACTTCTATTCACTTTCCACATAATGCCCTCGCCTCTAGAAACATCTACCTGTTGGAGTTGGTTGCTCTTGCTAAGGTTCTTAATCAATCAGTTCATCTCCTAATCTTGTAATTATTATTGGAGAAATTGCTATCTCTTTGAATATCCCCAAAAGCTGGATTATTTTTCCTCCAAAATGAAATTGATTTAGTTTAGTTAAGTAATTTTATAAAGACATGCCTTATCTAAGGAGAAGTGTGCTGGTTATAAAGACACTGATGAGTTTTGAAAAAAACTTGTCCCAGTATAATTAACAACCAAATTAAGACAAGACTAGACTGTCTGCAAGGTAGCTAGTTGTCACATTTGGCTTATGAGGCCTAAACTATGGTCATTCAAATTAAGATGTATTGTGAGTTGAAAATATACATTTCTTTTCCAATAGTACCAACAAATGAAACTTTTAAGTATCTCTTCAAAATATTTTTACTGATTAAACCAAAACAATATTTTGGTTATATTAAAGTAAATATACTATGAAAAATAATTTCATTGGTTTTTTTCTTTTTACAGTATAACTAATAAAAATTTAAAACTATGGGCCTGGCGTGATGGCCTAGCAGCTAAAGTCCTTGCCTTGAAAGTACCTGGGATCCCACATGGGCGCCAGTTCTAATCCCAGCAGCCCCACGTCCCATCCAGTTCCCTGTTTGTGGCCTGGGAAAGCAGTAGAGGACGGCCCAAAGGCTTGGAACTCTGCGCCCCTGTTGGAAACCCGGAAGAAGCTCCAGGCTCCTGGTTTCATGTTGGCTTAGCTTTGGCCATTGCAACCACTTGGGGAATGAATCAGTGGACAGAAGAATTTCCTCTCTGTCTCTCCTCCTCTCCTTATGTCTGACTTTCCAATAAAAAATAAAATAAATCTTAAAAAAAACCAGCAGTAGTACATGTACAAGTGATTCACTCTTTCTAAACTGCAGATTAATTTTTTTATTAAATCCTCATCTATAATACATTTGTTCTGTTTTTATGATTTCTAATATCTATAAAAGCATCAAAATGCCACTTCAGTGGTGAGTGAAGACATGTATCTTATTTGACAGTTGATGGAAAGTACTTAAAATATTAGGGTGAAAGATATTTTAAGTTTGTGGTGGAAATGGAAATGGATTTAGTACTTCAGTATTAGGAGTTTTAGGATTTTTTTTTCTGAGTTAAAACAATCTTTTGCTTCACTTTCAGACCAATATAAGTGGTCATGTCTGTTGACTGGCTTTTTCCCACTGGCAAATGTTACATTAAAGACTTCATGCTAATTACTGAAGGGTTAGACAATAATACCTTCTTTATTGAGGAAGAATTGATTATTGGTTCAGTTTTCATTTCCAATGAGTAATCTGTAATTCACCATGCTTTGCTTTTCTGTCTTAAATTGCTTATAACATATATTCCCAGAACAAAGAAAGCTGAAGAGTAACATTAGAAGGAAAAAAATGGAAGTACTCCTTAACTTTTTACCCTGTGTTATTGGGTAGCTTTTCCTGAGTGACACATTTCAACACTTTGGTGGGTCTCCTGAGTCAGTATCCCTGGTTATCCTGTTCACTTACTTCTGTGCTAGAGGCATTATTTTATAGTAAGCAATTATAACCTTGTTTCAATGGCTGTATTTTTCTTTAGAACATGCTCTGCACTTCTTATGGCGGGAAGTTATTACATCAGACTGTTGGAAAATATACTATAACCCTTATACAGGCTGGTAAGGCAAACATTTGTTTATATATTTGACGTAAAATATAAATGAAACGAATAATTCTGTGACACTGGTAGCGTGGCTTTAGCCATTCCTCAAAAAGGATGTTTAAATCTTTGTTAAACATTCTCATAAATAAGATAGACTTTGTATCAGATCATTTTTCCTAAATAGTGAATATCAGATGTAAAGTGCTTGGTTATCAGGATTAAAGAGAGTTCAGTATAAGAAAAAATATAATCTAATTTATTAAGAGCTGGTTTTTGGATTTTTTGCTTGTCCATTTATATTATAAAACAGATTTAGGAATTAGTCTACATAAAAAACCACATTGCCTTTTTCAGGTTCATAAAGGTCATAGTTAGGGAGTAGATAGTTTCTTTTTAGTTACTGAAGACTTAGTTGTTAATTCAGACTGTGTTTTGATTATTGGATTTCATATTTTCATGATCAAGGATTTGAAGTTTTCACTCTAAAATGTAATTTCAGTAAGCCTTGACTTTCATGCTTTTCTTACAGTGTTCTTTAGAAATGGAATAATTGTTACTTGTATTGCTGGATGTGTTTTTCTTGTTTTTGCTTTTAGCATTATCCGTGAGTACCCAAATTCTGGGCCACAGTTGCTTGGTGGAATTTTAGCAGATGAGATGGGTCTCGGGAAGACAGTGGAAGTTTTGGCTCTGATTCTGACGCATACTCGACAGGATGTTAAACAGGATGCTCTCACTCTTCCCGAGGTAGGAGGAGTACCACAGGGCATGGGAAAGCAGAGGACATGTGTTCTCAGAAGCCATCCTATTGTGAGCATTTGCTTGGCACTTTAGTCAGCACTTTCTGTTCATTCTACAGCTGATGATTTACATTGGTGGTTAACTTCAAGTAGTCATTGAATGGGATGTTTGTGACCAAGCAGGGATTTTAATTATAGTGACTAACTGTAAGTCACTGAGGTTGGAAGAGCCTGTGTAGTAGTCACTTAGCAATCCTCCTACTAGTTGGTAGAGACACTCCTTTACAAAAGTACCATGACTCCTAGTGTGTTCTGTCACTGTAAAAAAATCCCCAGGTTGCGATTAGTTGGTTTTTTTTGAACTTTTAAAAAAAAATATATTGTACAGATCTGGAAATGTGAATCCTAGAATCAAATAAATTGAAGCCTTATTAAAGTGTACATAGCTTAGTGAATAGATTAGTTGAAACAAACTCCAAGTCCTTTCCCCCAAGTGTATAGTTGTGTTTAATTAAACACATAAAATATAGGGTCTAGAAAAAATTTTAAAAATCACTGAGTCTTGTTCATAGCATATGATTTTCAATGATGAACTCTAAAATCAACACATTAGATTATGCTGAAATGAGGGCACTAGTTAAGAATGTTAACAATAATTAGTTCTGCCTAGTGCCCAATAGGCTCCCAGCATTTGTGATTCTGTGAATTTTTGCTAGGTTCAAATTTTATAGTTAGCCTTTCTGGCTTAAGTAAAAAAAGTAAATTGGAAAGTAGAGGGTTTTTTCTTTTTTTAAAGATTTTATCTCTCTCTCTCTCTTTTTTTTAAATGCATAATGACAGAGAAGGTAGGTCTTCCATTCTCTGGTTCACTGCCAAAATGGTCGCAATGGCCAGAACTGAGCCAGCTTGAATCCAGGAGTCTCTTTGGAGTCTCCCATGTCGGTACAGGGGCCGAAGGAGTTGAGCCATCCTCGACTGCTTTCCTAGTGTACAAGCCCTGAGCTGGATCAGAAGTGGAGTAGCTGGGTCACCAATCAGAGCCCACCATGAGATGCTGGCACCACAGGTGGACTGATAGCATGTTTCCCTACCATGCTGGCCTGGAGAGTGTAGTTTTTACTTCCAGTAACTTACTTTTGAGATTTCCTCCTCTTGCCATATTTTAATACGTGACTAAATTTGAGTGTTAGTGCAGATTCAGTGGTTCAGGTTACTTTTTAGTATCCTTTAGAAAGTTACTTTTTTTAGAAGATCTGTACTTTAATTTTGGTAATGCACAATTTTAAGAAGTAATATCATTGTACAGTAAAAAATGAAGCATGTATATTTATGTATAAAATGTTTAGCCTTTTTTGGTAATTTTTACAACTGTTTTGTATTTCCTTACTAGAAAGAAGGTTGATTTAATAAATACTTAAGAATATTTAAAGCCTAACACTGTGTGACTGCTGATTGTTGTTTATATTAGGGAAAAGTAGTAAATTATTTTGTTCCATCACATTGCTTTGGAGGAGAAGCAAAAGATGTTGGAACCCAGAATACGGAGTTTGAATCAAAAGAAAAAGTTCATTGTCCCCGTAAGTATGATGGCTTTTCACTTACCTCCTTACCGTGGCCTTTTGGGCAGTACTTGCCATACTTAGTGAGATCTTGTTTTTTATAATTGTTTTTACAATGGTTCGTATAAATAGATCCAGTTAATAGCCTTAGCAAAAGTAAAGATTTATTCTTTTCTTTTGTTTGATGTAGGCAGTACTTGCTCACTTGATTCCTTAGGTACAATTTAAACTGAGAATAGCTACTTCATATTGTGTGACCAAATGAATATTTTCTCTTCTAACTAGCATGTAGAGGAAGAATTATGAGTTTTCTTTCTTTCATTTTGAATGTCTGTTATATGAACGAATTGGCACAAATCTGTAGTAATTTGTTATTTGTATGTGTTGAGATAAATAGCTGTTTCTTCAGAATGGTACTTTACTGCAATAAGCTCTTGACTTCTTTTCAGACTTCAGCCTCAGTGCAGGTCAGCAGTTAGCTTCTGCTTGCCTTTTGTGGTAATTATTGTGACCAAGATAGCATATTCTTTGCATTTAGCTACCCGTGTGATGATTCTGACAGCTGTGAAAGAAATGAATGGGAAAAAAGGAGTTTCTATTCTTTCCATCTACAAGTATGTCAGTTCAATATACAAATACGACGTCCAACGAAATAGGAGTCTTCTGAAGCGGATGCTGAAAAGCTTAATTTTCGAAGGTCTTGTGAGACAGATCAAAGGTCATGGTTTTTCTGGAACTTTTACATTGGGAAAGAATTACAAGGAAGACAATACATGGGATAAAACAAAAAAACAGGTAATGGAGCTTTGACTAAGTTTCTGTAAGTGATACATCATGCGAGTAAGTTGATAAGTCCTCTCAACACAGAAATTCTTAATATAGAGAGCAAAACAAGAAGCGGGTTAAGAAAGACATTTTTACGGTTATGACTTTTCTACTTTTTGAATATAAACTCTAGAGGAGCAGAAACTTTATTCTGGTTACCACTACATTTAAAAAGGAATGTAAGTGTGTAACAATATCTAGTAAGTGTTTGCTGAGTAGATTCTAAAATGAGTTGGTTCAGCATATTACAGAGTTTAAGGTAACTTCTCTGTTCTCTTTGTGCTGCCTTTAGTACTTTGAAAGTTTGTTTCATGCTTTAAAAATATTAATAATACTTTAAATTGTGAGGTGTAATTCAATGTTTTGTGTAGATTCACATTTTCTCCATTTCATCATCTTAACATATTTTTATGTTTCACTCTAAAATTGCTTCCTTTAGCCAGTAGTGTTGTTTTACATTTAGGGAAAAAATGTATAGTATTTGCACATGTAAACAGAAAAATAATGACCCTAAGCCAAGGTGTGGAGTGCCAGGTTGGCTGCTGTGAGAGAAGCAGCAGACCAAAACCATTTGTTTTTTGGAGTTAGGAATCTCCTGTATAATTCAAGGCAGTGTACTGAGCTTTATTAATCCTACTGCACTAGAAAAAACAAATTTCTTGGGCCCGGCGCGGTGGTGCAAGTGGTTAAAGGTCCTCGCCTTGCACGCCCGGGATCCCATATGGGCGCCGGTTCTAATCCCGGCAGCCCCGCTTCCCTTCCAGCTCCCTGCCTGTGGCCTGGGAAAGCAGTCGAGAGCGGCCCAAAGCTTTGGGAACCTGCACCTGCGTGGGAGACCCGGAAAAGGCTCCTGGCTTCAGATCGGCGTAGTATCGACCCGTTGTGCTCACTTGGGGAGTGAATCATCGGATGGAAGATCTTCCTCTCTGTCTCTCCTCTCTGTACATCCGCCTTTCCAATAACAAAATAATAAAAAAAATAAATCTTTAAAAAAAAAACAAATTTCTTATCAGTGCTATTGCTTGTGTAGCAGGTGTTCCAATTTCTCTGACCTCATTTTTGATAGCACTTGGAAGAGTCTGTATCTTTTTTCTTTTTAAGATTTATTCATTTATTTAAAAGGCAGAGTTACAGAGAGAGAATTTCCATCCTCTGATTCACTAGTTGAGTGGCCACAACAGCTGAGGCTGGACAGATCTGGAGCCAGGAACTTCCTCTGGGTCTCCCATGTGTGTGCAGGGAACCAAGGACTTGGGCCGTCCTCTGCTGTTTTGCAGGTGCTGTAGGGAGCTGAATAGGAAAAGCAGCAGTTGGAACTTGAACCTGTGCCTATGTGGGACATCAACACCATTGATAGTGACTATTGTTGTGCCACAGCACCAGCCCCTGAAAGAATCTAGTTGTTAATCTACCTGCACTCCACTCCCCTCTTGGGAATTCCTGTAGCATCATTTGGAGTGTTTACTGTCCAAAGCCTTGTTGAGATCAGGGCCTAAATACTCCTCAGATTTGTATTCCCAGCTTTCAAGACAGCACCTTCCACAGACATGACAATGAATAAGTTATTGTAAGAAGGGACACAGATAGAAATGGGAAGGATAAAACAAATTTAGAACTAGTTACAGTAACTTCTATATTAACATTTACTTTTCTTCAGTACTATCATTTAGTACTATCTTGTAATTGCCATAGTTAATATAATTATTTAAACTATAAGTCTTTTATTAATTTCAGGAGAGTGCTAAAATATTCAATTATTCCACCTTTTTTTTCCTTTTTAATTTTGTTTTCCTTTGAAAGACAGTTACGGAGAGGAGAGATGGAGAGATCTTCCATCATTTCTTTCACTCCCGAAATGAGCACAGTTGTCAGGGCTGGATCAGGCCAAAGCCTGCAGCTTCGTTCAATCTCCCACCAGAGGAGCCTTGGCCCAAGCACTCCGGCTCTGCTCCATTGCTTTCCCAAGGGAGTTGTATCCAAAGTGGAACAGTCAGGACAAACCGGTTCTCCTGTAGGATGTGGGTGCTGGAGCGAGTGGTTTAACTCACTGCTCCAGAATATTTGTCCCATATTTCTAGTCTTTAATTCTCTCCCAATCATGTATATGTAGTACTAGAAATTTTCTTTTGTTGTAGCTCACAGACTTTAGGGAGAGTTAGTAGAAAGTCTGTATTGGCATCCACATAATCGAGAATGAATCTCCTGAGAGGCAAAAAATAACCAAAAAAAAAAAAATTGGACTTCGATAAGTGTGTACATTGTCAGGAATTTAATTTCATAAGTGTGATTTATTGAAATACATTAATGGATACTTTCCCGTAGGTAATAGGCAGTCCAAAGAAAAATCAGAAAGAAACCAGAAAATCAGGGAATAAGGACACAGATTCTGAATATTTGCCATCAAACACCTCTGATGATGATGATGATGATGATGATGATCCTTATTATTATTATTATAAAGCCAGGAAGAACTATAATAAATTGAGAAAAAAGCCTGTTTTCTGCACACAAAAAAGAAAAAGTCAGCCTAAATTCAGTCCCAATTCCCAAGATGACTGTCCAGCAACCAGTGACTCTGCAATAATGGATGTGACCATGTCTGAGAGTACTTGGGAAACAAAGGAAGAAAGTGCGTCTCCAGCCCCTGGTGGCAGTGCCGGGCCACACTCTGATAGCCAGGGGCCCCGAGACGCCTCTGACTACCGCTTTGAGTGCATCTGTGGTGAGCTGAACCAAACAGACTGGAAGGCGCGTGTTCAGTGCCTGCGGTGCCACCTGTGGCAACATGCCAAATGTGTGAATTACGAAGAGAAGAATCTCAAGATTAAGCCTTTTTACTGTCCCCACTGCCTGGTAGCAATGGAACCAGTATCTTCAAGAGCAACTCTGATCATCTCGCCAAGCTCTATCTGTCACCAGTGGGTGGAAGAAATCAACAGGCACGTGAAATCATCGTCGCTTCGCGTCTTGGTAAGGCAGTTCGGTAGTGAGTGATAGAGACGTGTAAGGTTTTGCTTCTTCATAATAGGTTTTATAGTCTGTTGCTTTGTTGTTTACCTTAGAAATTAATGTAGGTTTAAAATGACATTAGATCAGAGCTCGAGGAGGAAATTGAGAATAAGAATATTATTTTATTGTGATGTCAGAATTTCAGATGTTCAAGCACTTTGAGTATAAATATATAAAAGTTTTGAAAAAAGTCACTGATGACATAAGAAAGTCTCAGTATGTAAGCTTTATACTCTGAGAAAAATGCAACCCTGAGGAATACTGTGTCCTTGTGGCTGCTTGATTGGTTTGCCACTGCTTAACTCCAGAGTCATCCTCTAAAATTGCGATTGCTGTATTGGTTAAGTAGGAGCTTATTCAACAGTTACTGATTGAGCACCTACTTTCTATCACAAACTGTACTCACTGCTCAAAGTAGAATCTTATTACAGATTTGTGTAGATAAAATGAGTTTATTAACTCCTATTAGGTTCACTTCTTTTGCTCTTCCTTTCTACATAAATATTACCAAAACTATTTTGTTTTAAGCACTCAGTAGCATGAAGAATACAGTAAAAAGTAAAATAACATTTTTTAATGTTGTTTTGTATGGATAGATCCTGGTTTTAGCTCTATCACTTTTGACTAAGCTACTTGACATTTTTTAATAGCATCTATTAATAGAATTGCTAAACTTTGGAGATAATAGGTAACGTAGTATCTGAAATGTAAGACCATTTTGTGCGTAATGGCTCTTGTTCTTTTCGTGCTGTGCTTGAACACATGCCTCTGGTTTCATCCACCTTAACTACCAGTCATTCTTTTCCCTTTCTTCCACCTGTGAAAATGTTATTCATCATATGCCTCAAAATTCCACTCTTGTTGAAAACTCACCTTCTCAGCCTCACAGTTGGTCTTTGTACTGCGATGCTGTTGCTTTTACTTCTGTTGCAAATTTTTCAGTGTTTGTGTTACTGATATTCCACACTGAACCATGTCTTCAGCTAAAAATGTTTAGGATCTGTGTTCTTAAGGTAGTAGGAAGGGCTTGGTAAGGTTTCAAGTATTTTGTTTGTCTCTAATGACCCTTGCTTTTGAGTGTGCTTGTGTGTATATACATATACACATAAATACATACGTAAACACATATGTATGGTTTGAATATACATATATATGTATGGTGAAAAAAATTTTATATCTCATATATACAGATTGAAAAGCATCCTGAAACTCTCCGCCCTGTCCCTCTTGCCGGTTGTTTCCTAGGTGTATCAAGGAGTGAAGAAACATGGTTTTTTACAGCCTCATTTTTTGGCCGAACAGGATATCGTTATCATTACCTATGACGTTCTTCGTTCAGAACTAAACTACGTCGATATTCCTCATAGCAACAGCGAGGATGGACGGCGCCTGCGCAACCAGAAGCGCTACATGGCCATTCCCAGCCCCCTGGTGGCGGTGGAGTGGTGGAGGATCTGCCTGGATGAAGCTCAGATGGTTGAGTGTCCAACAGTAAAAGTGAGAGGTTTTGCACAGTCTTCTTGAGTGGAAGAAAAGGGAATGGGAGTAGGGTGACTTGAGTAGTTAACCTTAAACGTTAATGTTGCTCAAAAGTTTGTTATTCAATACTGCATTGCTTTTCTCTTATACGATTAATTGTATAACACTTTGGAAAGTTTTTATTATCTGAATCATTGCTGTGTGATCAGTGCTGTTGTGTATTTGAATAAGGTGTCAGTTTTCATGTGATAAACATCAGTTTAGCCTGAATTTAAGGACTTTTAAAAGCATTTCTGCTAATTAGAAAGTTAATCATGTAGGGTTTCTTTTAAACCCTAGCTTTAAACCAGAGTTGGCTTTAGTTTATTTTTGTTTAAATCAGAGTTAAGGGGTAACAGAAAATGCCATTTTGAGAGCTAAAATTTTCATACAGCCTTTGGCATATTGTTTGTCTTGTTTGACTTATTACTTGCACTGAGCTTATGACTCGTATTTCTTAATGCAGTGGTTTACATCTGGAGAATAAAGCGATGTAGGGATGTTCTTGGGGGATTCTTCATGCTTGTACTGCCTCTGGATAGCACACGGCAGCTTCTACTCATGAGAACCACTCACTGTATTAGGAAATACCCTATTGCGTGTGACAAACTACAGAATCACCGCAGAATGGAAATAACTATGTCTCAGCTAAAGTGAAGCTTCTGAATACTTTTTCATGACTAATTGAACATCTAATTACTGCATTCCCCGTGTCTTTTTTCTGATTCTATTTCATGTTTCTCTCACAGGCTGCTGAAATGGCCCGGCGTTTGACTGGGATTAACCGATGGTGTGTCAGTGGCACTCCAGTTCAGAGAGGATTGGAGGGTAATGTGTGGCTTCCTTGCATGTTTTCTGTATTGCTAAGGAGGAAATTTTTTCTTTTGAGGAAAAAAATACTGCTGTGCTTAATGTTGATCCTTAATCATTTTCAAGCATATTTTTACATGAGACTCAGGTGGTTCTTTTGTTTGTATAAATTATGGTAGATATATTTAGTGTTTTTTAAATCAGACAAAATTGAACTTAGAATTTCAAAGTAGTTGGTACACAACCAAGAATCCACCAGAAACAAGAGACAGTATTAATTTCAGTTGACTATAAAAAAGGGACCATGTTTTTCATTGTCTAGATCCATACAGTTTGGAATCATAATTTTATTAATTATAAAATGTACAGATGTATTTATTTATTTGAAAGAGTTACAAGAGAAAAAGGGCAGTCTTCCATCTGCTGCTGCACTCCTGAAGTGACTGCACAGCTGGAGCTGAGCTGAACCAAATCCAGGAGCTTCTTCAGCGTTTCCCAGATGGGTACAGTGGCCCAAGAAGTGAGCCATCCTCTGCTGCTCTCCCAGGCACATTAACAGGCAATTAGATCAGTAGCAGAGTAACTGGAACTTGAACTGATACCCGTATGGGTTGTTGATATCATAGATTACAATTCTACCTGCTGTACCACAACATTAGCCCCAAGTATATCATTACCATATCATAATTCCTTCAACTCTTCTTAAGCATTTAAGTTGTATCTGTTTTCTCCCCACCTACATTTTAATGAAATACTTGTGGATTAATTTTATGGTGCTTTTTTTCCCCACTGGAGTATATATTAAACAATATATATTAAACATCTTTAGTTAAATCTTACATATTTAAAGAGAAAAATTACTTTGCGTATTAAATTTTCTGAAAAGCTCTCATTCAGATGTGTTGAAGGAGCCAGTATATCGCAGTGGGTAAAGCTGCTGCTTGCAGAGTGCTGCCGTGAGTTGTAGCTGCTCTGTTTCCTGTCTGGCTTCTTGCTGGTGTGCCTGTGAAGGCAGTGGGTGACTCTACTGAAGTGGAGAACAGAGTGCAGATCCAGTCTCCTGCCTTCTGGTAGGGGCTGCTTTGGCTGCTAGAGCAGTTGGCAGCACATGCAAGTTTTCTACTTCTCTTTCTGTTGGAATTCTCCTCTCTGTCATTCTACCTTTCAAATAAATAGATATTTTTAAACATTTTTTAAATGTACTCAAAGTATAAAATTAAAATATAACTGGAGCTTAATGATAAATATTCATCTTCAAAACTTACATTTTCTGAAAATTTGAATTTTCTGTATTGTGTTTATTTTCAGCAGTGTAATATTCTGCTAAAATAAGTAAAAGGTAAAAATGCCCTTTAGTGTTACTGAAAAACAATGTCTTGATGACTGTTTCTCAGAGAAAAATACTTTACAAAGAAGCTTTTATGTATATATTTAAATATATAATTTAGCATTACATTTAACTGCATGTTTATAAATTATCATCAGACTCATAAAAGACCAAACATTATGGTCTACTCTCACATTTAGGAATTTCCAAAATGACAGATATTTAGGTGCATTCAGAACAAAAGATAGATGTAAGGGTATAAAAAAAGAAAATATCAAAATTACTTCAGCTGTTACCTGCTAGATGCTGTTAGCACTCCTGCAGTTCTGATACCCCCAAATGACTCCACACATGATTAAATGCCACCTTGGGAGCAAATCGCACCTTTCCACCTCGTTTAAGAATGGTGATTTATTAATTAGCAACAACATAGAGATCTTTTCAGTCACAAGTCAGCCACATTTGGATCAAGGAAATAAGGGTAGGGTGTTTGATTTTGCTAGGCCTTTTGTATGTTTCTGCAGACAGGCTAATATCTTACCAATTTACTTTAAAAGGCAAATAAACCAAAACATTGCCTGTTCCACTCACCCCAAGGGCCATGTCCTTAGAATGTACCCTTCTGTATAGTGTATAGTTTTGACTTTGGTGGATAAGTGAGTACACACCTGGGTGCATATCTTCCCTTATTGGTTATGTCCATAACAAATTTTTTAAATATTCAAATGCTTCTTTTCTTTATTTATTAATGTATTCTAAAACTTAAATTATACTAAAATATGTAAATCATTAAGCATAGTACTTGACATAGTAAATATTCAATGAATGATAGCTGCTTGTGCTTCTAGTTTTTTACGTTTTTTCCTTTTATGTAATCATTTGCTTATTTAAGTTTCTTTGAAAGTGTTGATTTCAACAAAGGTCTTTGAAGCATATTTGTTGTGTAAGTTATTCTGTGGGGATTATGGTTAGCAAAAACAAACAAATCCTTGATCTTATTGGGCTTATAGCTTACAAATGCAATTTTGTTTATTAGTTAAACAATCTTTATTTTAAAGATTTATTTATTTATTTGGAAAGTAAGATATATATAGAGGAGGAGACACAGAGAAGAAGATCTTTGGTCCATTGATTCACTCCCCAATCTGCCACAATGGCTAGAGCTGAGCCCATCCAAAGTCAAAAACCCAGCACCTCCTGTGGGTCTCCCATGTAGGAGCAGATTCCCAAAGCTTTGGGCCATCCTCTAATGCCTTCCCAGACCGCCAGCAGGGAGCTGGATGAAAGTGGGGCTCTGGGGACAGAGCCAGCACTCCAATAAGATCCTGGCATGGGAAAGACAGGGATTTAACTACTGACATAGCCTTGGGTCCAGTTAATGCCATCAAGACAACACAAATTCAGAAAGTATAAAATGCTAACTGTGTTGTTTCATAGTTTTCTGTGTGTTGTTACATAACCTCATGTAATAGGGATGCAAAAAGAAAAAGACAGCTGATTCGACAGTTCTCATTGTCCTGAGCTAAGAGTGAAAGAAAGAATTCTATGGTGTAGAGAAAAGACGAACTGTAATGACCATATGACAGCCTACGAGAAAGAGAGTTTGACTACAATACAGAAACCTGGGAAAACATTATGTGTTGAGGAACTCAATATATCAGTTTCAAAGGAACCATTAGAGGAACTTATATGTCATGATAGAGAATTTTATTTTCTTAAAAACAACAAAAGCTAATGAAAGGATTCTATCAAAGCAGTTGGTGAGTCTTCACATGGTTAGACTTGTATTTTGAAAGATCAGTCTAGATCATGTGAAAATGGTGCAGAAGAGCAGCAGAATCAATATTGCAATCTAAGTAGATTGCTTTGCTAAGTAATTATCATGTAATGCCAGTACTTTGAATTTGGACTGAATAAATAAATAAAAAGTTGTAAAGGGAAAACTAGCAAAGCTTGGTGGAGAATTAGAAGATAACAAGATTCCTGACCTGTGTGTCTGTTGATGTAGATAATACTCACCAGTGAATTACACCTATATGAGAAATATGCTTAGGCAGAAAGAATTTGAATTTGATTTTGGCATATTGAGCTTGAGGTATCTTTGACCGTCGGAAAAGAGATAAGCTATAGGCAATTTGATTGATTTCAGCCGATAAGTCTGTGGAACTCTACCTCTAAGCAGATATGCTTTGGTTCTTTTGTTTGACTAACTCTCAGAGCATTTTATTGAACCTAAATATTTATTTGTCATTATCAGAATAGATGTTGAAAGTAACAGTCATAGATTTTTTTTTAGTTAATTTCTTATGATTTCTAATGAGAATATTCACATTAAGAAACATGTTTAACAATGAAAATTAGTGTTAGCCCTTATCTTCATTTGACCCCCTCAAAAAAATAACCCTAAATAAATATAGGAAAATTGTTTAGTACACATAACGTAAAAAAAATAATAGAATGTGTGCCCATTGAAGAAATCATTGATAAATGCCATGCTCTAAAAGTGGTAGAAAGCTGGCTAGAGCAGGAGAGAAAATAGTTCTACTTTACGGGATACCATATTTGCTTCTTTGAGTTATTTTTGTTGTGTTCATTATGTCTATGAATACGGTTCTCTGAGTAAATCCTGCCTATATGTTTTTATGATTGTCTTAAACTTGTTTCTTACAAGTGGAATTATTGAATCAGAGAGTTAAGGAATATTGGGTTAGCACCTGAAACAAAGCCTAGAGAAGAATAAATTCTCCAGAAATATAAATTGGATAAATGTTGAATTTTGACTTTGAGCCATGAATCTGCATTTGAATTCATGCCAAGTGTGCTGTGCTGTGTAATACCCATGAAAGTGCTCCTCCAGAGTAGCAAAGAAACAGCAGGCATTTGGTGGGCAAACAGTTAAGAAATCTGCATGCCATGTTGGCGTGACTGGGTTTGCTCCCTGGATCTGGCTCCCAGTCCACGTTTCTGAGTGTGTACCCTGCGAAGCCGTTGGTAAGGCTCTCAGAACTGGGTCCCTGTCCACTCACATGGAGACCTGATTTGAGCTCCCAGCGCCTCTCTTCACCGCAGCTTGGCCCACCCTGGCCATTGCAGGCATTTGAGGGGCATGCAATTAGGTGGGAATGAGCTCTGTGTGTCATGGTCTGACATCATGTAAATTTCTCTCTCTGGAATAAATTAAAGTTAACTTTAAGTAAAGAAGTTCCAAAGCAGTATTCTCAGTGTACTTTTTCTTCTCAGATCTTTTTGGGTTAGTGGTCTTTCTGGGCATTGAGCCTTATTGTGTCAAACACTGGTGGATTCGACTTCTTTATCAGCCTTACTGCAAGAAGAACCCTCAGCCCCTCTACAGCTTTATTGCCAAGATACTCTGGAGGTCTGCGAAGAAGGATGTCATTGACCAAGTCAGTGCCTTCAATGTTTATTTATTAATAATATCTAAAAGAAAAAAAAGAGAGAGAACTGGGATGGAGAGTTATTTTCAGGTGAAATCTTGTTTTTCTCTCCTCTCGTAGATCCAGATACCCCCTCAAACTGAAGAAATACACTGGCTCCACTTTTCTCCAGTGGAACGGCATTTCTATCATCGTCAGCACGAGGTTTGCTGCCAGGACGCGGTGGTGAAGCTTCGAAAGATCTCCGACTGGGCTCTGAAGCTCAGTAGTCTGGACCGAAGGACTGTCACCTCCATCCTCTACCCGCTGCTCAGGCTCCGGCAGGCCTGCTGCCACCCGCAGGCCGTGCGCGGGGAGTTCTTGCCGCTCCAGAAAAGGTTTCAGTCTGCTTCTTTTAGAACAATGATTGAGAATATTACAGTAATAATAACAAACTGTTTAACAAATTTGTTTGTAGTCTAGAATTTTACTCAAAGACCTTAATTGATTTGTTACTATTTTGTTTTTTTTTTTAGTGGTGTGAAAATTTTTCTTTGGAATAACACCTCATCTGTGAAAGAATTACAGGAAAATTGCATGATTTTGAGTATTTCTTTGAGAAATGGAGTGGGGAGTGTGTTGTAATTTTTGACTGCCCTCCGAGTATAAAAAGCTTTTGTTTCTACTTGTACTTCTTGGTTTCTGCATCCGGGAATTCGTTCCCACTGACTATTTTTTTCTTGTAATTGTGCAGTCTCTTTAATTTAGCAATCGAAGAGATAATTTGGTGTCTCTGAATTATTTCTGTGCTTGTATGCCAGCATTTCCCTGGAGAATGAGATTGTGCATTAGAAACTGATCTCTTTTTAACACTGGATATTAGGAAGAAACCCTCTCAGATCCTACAGGAATCTTTTGCTTGCCCTTCATCAGATTACAGGCAAATAAAGGAAACAAGGAGATAGATTCATATAAGGCAAACATGGTAAAGCTTATAAAATGTATATACAAGTTTCTATGGAAACAGTTTCTATTTCTGTTATCCTTTGGATGGAGGTGATATTTGACGTGATCCTTTTAGGGTCTTCCTTTTTACACAAAGGAAAAAAAAATCCTAAGGAGATTCAGTTAGACTCAGGCTGACATTCTTTTGCCCATTCTAATCTATCTTGTATTTGGCACTTGTGGAAGACTTCTAGTTCTGCTCTTTCTTGAGTAAGTTCTACAGCTCCTTGATGGTATCAGAGAGAAGGGTGCTCGTTGGACTTGTTAAAGATAATTAAGTTTAAAACAGTAATGATCAAAGTGAAGACTGAAAGAAAAATACTGAAGGTATTAGCTGTAAGAATATTATCAGTCTTGTGTGGTCAGAGTCCTGTTGAGATAGCACTTGGGACTTTATTTGTAGCTTTGAACATTCTGCCTTCTCTCCCACTCCCCTTTTTTTAAAGCACCATGACCATGGAAGAGCTGCTGACATCTCTGCAGAAGAAATGTGGAACTGAATGTGAAGAAGCACATCGCCAGCTAGTTTGTGCCCTCAATGGCTTAGCAGGCATCCATATCATTAAAGGTAGAAGGTGATTGCTTCGTAATCTCTGGTTCTTTCCATTTCTTTCAGATATAGTAGGTTTATTTACCTACTTGAAAGGGAGAGGGAAATCTTCCGTCCACTGGTTTATTCCCCAGGTGGCTGTAATAGTCAGGACTTGACCAGGTCAGGCAGGTCACCCACATGGGCGACAGTTACCCAAGTGCTTGAGGCACCCCTGCCTTCCCAGGGACGTCAACAGGAAGCTGAATGGCAAGGGCAGCCAGGACTCAAACCAGCACTGCAGCGTGGGGTGCCGACCTCACAAGCTGTAGTCGAATGCACTGTGCTGCACCGTTGTCTTCCTGTAGTTTCTGAGGTGGATCTTCCCCATCTCCTGCAAGATATTACTGATTACGGTTAAGATAGATTCAGCTAAAGGTTGAGATCAGTTATGCGAACTAGTTGAAGAACCTTAAAAATTCATATGTGCTTTATCCATAGACTTTGTTCACTTTTCTTTTTTAGATTCATTATGTTAACCTCAGTTGTTAATAGTGAACTAAAACTACCAAAATATGCAGAAGTAGAAATTATAAGACTTTAAGGGAATATTACTTACCAATTTTGAAATAATGTTGCTGATTACTTTTTTCTCACTGAACATCTGTGTGTTAGGTATGATGCAGGTTGAGGTGATGCAGGTCAGGTCTTATAAGACGTTAGATTCTTTGGAGAAACAGACAGACACAGATAAACATGCTGTAGATTTATATAGTTATCGTGTTGCATATTATGCACATAGAATGGAGGTTAGAAAGAGCATCTTCAATTTCTATAATGTGTTATTTTCCATTTCTTAGGAATTCCTAATAAAAACTTGGCAGAAGTTTTCTCAACTTGACAGAAGGCATCTTAGAAAACTTGGGTCCTTGTCATGCCCAGTGGCTGAAATTAGAATCTTTCGCCTTTATGATCATGCAAGCATCAGTAATGTTCCCTTCCAGTGCTTCTGTAAACACTGAGCCCAAGGTTCTCCCTAGTGCCAAAAGACAAGGGAAGGAACAAGGAGTATCAACTGTATGCACACTAACATTAGTATGTAAAATGCTACTGGATTTAATAAGTAAAACTTACAAAATGAAATATATAAGGCAGTTTTATTCTTACCAGGAATGAACACTTGAAACTGTAATAATAGTATAATTTTTTAAAGATTTTATTTGTATTGAAAAAACAGATTTATAGAGAAAAAGACAAGCATAAAGATCCTCAGTATTGATTTACTGAGTCATTAAGTGAGTCAATAGCCGAAGCTGAGCCGATTCAAAACCAGGAGCCAGGAGCCTCTTCTGGATCTCCCATGTGGTGCAGGGTCCCAAAGGTTGGGCCATGCTCCATCACTTTCCCAAGCCACAGCAGGGAGCTGGAAGGGGAGTAGAGCATCTGGGACTTGAACCAGTGCCCATATGACTGATATTTAATGACATAAACACAGATCGGAAATATATCTTTGTAGATTTGTGGTTAGGCCTCTTAATTTTCTATTAAACATGTATAAGAAACTGTATCAAAATATAAATTCTTTCACTAATTCTGACAGTATACATCAGTGTGATTTTGTAACTCATTATTATCCAAAATACACCTTATTTCTAAAAATATCTATTTCTAGCAGTTACCTAATGCAAAGCTTCCTGAAACACGTTCTTTCAGTCAGGAACTCTATTCACTCAGATGAGGGAGATTAGTTTCACAATAAGATCTCATTCTCGTGTAGTAATATCAATTATAGTCATACATTACGTTTTTATGTTTTTATTTTTTAAGATTACTAATTAAAACTTTCAAAAGGCGTGGATTCCATTAGTGATGACACTGTCAGTTACACGGAATAATTCTCCCTCTCCCTGTCACTCTCCCTGATACTCTAGCTGTACATGTGAACTTGAATGTGTTGCTCAAGCTGTCTGAACGCGAGTTAGCCCATCAGCAAGGTCAAGGTGATACTGCATGCTTTGCCTCTCCCAGTACCTGCATGTGGAGAGTGATGTTACTGATGATGGCAATAATACAAAGTGACCTGAGATTCTTGACTATTTTAAATTTGCTCATAATGTAGGTTAGTGTCGCTAATGGGATTAAAGGACATAGTAGAAATTCAAAAAAATTGTTCAATTATAGTGTATTCAGCTTTGAAAAGGAACCTTCCTCTCATATTCCCTAAAAGTCTTCAGTTCGGCTGCCAGTGTTTGCGACTCTGTTCTCTATTATTTATCGTTATCGTCATCATGTCTATCCCAGTTAGTCAGTAGAAACGCAGCATCATTATAAAGGTATCTGGTTAGAGAAAAAGACTGAAAAAGGTAAATATTTAATATAGAATTCTTAATACTAGCTTTTCACAGTGCCAGTTTAATGGGATGAAATCATTGTGATTTAAATCTGCAGACAGCTTGATTAGCACACATCATAAACACATGTGCTTGTCCTGGAACAGATATGGAGAGTGAATAGATTATTTATATTCAGATCATTAACATTTAGCATCATATCTGGAAAATAATAACTTTTTATAAGCATTTAATATTGTACATTACACATTTATGTAAATGTGCTATTTTTGTCATATTTGCTCAATGATTTAGATATTATCTCCATTTTTTGCAATGAAACTGTTCAGAAAGACTTTTCTATAACTAACATGACTAAATAAGTCCTGCATCTTTTGATTTCAAATTAAATATTTAATATTTTATTATGCTGATCTATTTCTTTACCAGTGGACATTTGTCCTCATAAGCTTCACTCTTGTAGTGTCTAATAGTAAGGTGACAGAGTTAAAATATCTAAAGCAGAGTGATACAGTGTTTGGGGATTGCTGCAGTAACAAAGGTAAATTTCAGCTTTCCCTTTTAGAATTTAAAATTGTTTCCCTGATTTTATTCTGTTCTTAAGCGTCAAAGCCTAAGAATGATTGGGTATCTTCCCTTGATGTTTTTTCTGTGTCTCATCTTTATTTTTGCCTTTTCCTGCTACAAAGCTACATATTATAAAGACTCAGAAAACAAAACTGTTAGTCATTTCCAAACACTGATGCTCGCCTGCCAGGTCACTGCTCTCACTCAGCAGAGCAGCCCTCTGGGCCAGCAGAGGCCCTGTGTCTGATCTTTTCAGATGGTTTTCCATACGTTTCTACTGTAGTGCCTTGTCTTCCATTGGATAGAACTATAACAAACTATTGCTGGTTATAAAGAGAAATGCATACCAGATTGTTAATAGAGAATATCCCCATACTGAATTTAACATTTATTTTATGTATTATTTTTTTAAAGATTTATTTTTATTATTTTTTTTATTGGAAAGGCAGATATACAGAGAGGAGAGACAGAGAGGAAGATCTTCTGTCCGTTGATTCACTCCCCAATGGCCACAACTGCTGGACCTGAACCGATCCGAAGCCAGGAGCCTGGAGCTTTTTGCAGGTCTCCTGTGCTTGAGGGCAGGGTCGCAAGGCTTTGGGCTGTCTTCTGCTACTTTTTCCCAGGGAATTGGGGCTGCGTGGATTAGAATCAGTGTCCATATGGGATCCTGGTGCTTGCAAGGTGAGGACTTTGGTTATAAACTTAATTATGATGGATTTACTGCTTTTAGTTTCTACTTGTTCCATCTGCAGTAAGTTAAACAGCATCCATTCTTAAAAGTAACATTTTTCATTGCAGTTTGACTTGAGTTCAGTGATCCATAGGCCACGTATGGCCCACAGAATCCCTTTCTCTCTTCCTAGCAAGCCAACCCCACGTGAGACTCGAAAAACAGTAAATGTATAGCAAGTCTAAAAAAAATGATAATTTTGTATGGCTCACAAATGATGCTTTAAATACCCAAATGGCTCTTGACAGAAATAATGCCTACCCTTAATAGAGTTTTTCAAATATACGGTTTATTCAATGAAGATCTAACTTATAGAAATCTGTGCAAAATCTGGAGAGATTTGCTTCTATTAGAGTTCTTAGAAAATGGAAGTGAGGAATTTATTTATTTTGGGGCAAAAAAATTTTTAGAAGTCCATTTAATATGAGATGTCTTCAAAAAGTTTATGAAAAATGCATTGTAAAATGCTACCCATGGATTTCAAAAAATGCACCAAACTAAGCTTAGCCTTTACTTCTTCCTTTGTGTGAACTGTGTGAAATGCCCTCGTAGTATGCGTGATATAGGTTATGTGTGCTAGCTTCCTCATTGAGTGCTGAGCTTGTGGTATTAGATTTGAAGAATTGTCTTCATAGGTGCTTTGAGAAAAAGCTTGCAAAGTGTTTCTTTGGAAATGCTACTGCCACCAAGTGGCCAAGAAAGAGTATTTACAAATTGGTTTAACATCTATAAATCCTGTTAGGTTTGTGTACTTTTTTGTCTAATGGAATCTATGCCTTTTGAAAGTTTAGTAATCTTAAAAAATAAAAACATAAAAATGTAATGTATGACTATAATTGATATTACTACACGAGAATGAGATCTTATTGTGAAACTAATCTCCCTCATCTGAGTGAATAGAGTTCCTGACTGAAAGAATGTGTTTCAGGAAGCTTTGCATTAGGTAATTGCTAGGAATAGATATTTTTAGAAATAAGGTGTATTTTGGATAATAATGAGTTACAAAATCACACTGATGTATACTGTCAGAATTAGTGAAAGAATTTATATTTTGATACAGTTTCTTATACATGTTTAATAGAAAATTAAGAGGACTTAACTACAAATCTACAAAGATATTTATCCGATCTGTGTTTATGTCATTAAATATGAATCAGTGAAACTAGTTTGAATTTTTCAAAAAACAAACAAATGTGATGACAATCAAAAATTCTCACAGCAGAAATTTGAATGTCTCTACAGTATTTCTTCTATTTATTTGGCAATACGAGATTTCTCTTTTAGTTGTATTTGCAAATTTTTGATTTTCCACAAACAACAGGTAAGGTAGATTCCTTTATTTCTAGCCTCGGAAAATGTTTTGTCTCTTTCATTCAGCTGTCATCACACTTTTTCTCTGAAGAATCAGATAGGGAATATTTTAGGCAGCATGAGCTGTAGAGCTCAGCACAGCCACTGCTCTTTGTGACACCACTGCTGTGGTGACACAAAGCAGTCACAGATGACAGCAAGGGAGCCAGTTGGTCCCCGGACTCTGAAACTTCACATGTCAGAACACATGGTGTTAGTTATTTTAAAATGTCTTTACTGCTGGGCCTACAAAATGCATTACCTCTGGGCCATGGTTTGCCCACTTACGCGTTAGTTTGAAAGTTTTGAAAGTTTTTTGAAAGTTTCCTAGTTAAAAACTATTAAGACAAAATGTGCCTTTCAGATAGACTGTGATTTATGTTGCCCGGAATGCAAAAAAAAAAAGATCTCCAAATGTTAGAAATAGTTTTCAGTTACACATTGTTTTATTCTGATCTCAAGAACAACAATAAGATATTTTTCTAAGAATTATGTATAGATGGGCCCGGCGCGGTGGCGCAAGTGGTTGGGTCCTCACCTTGCACGCCCGCGATCCCATATGGGCACCGGTTCTAGTCCCGGCAGCCCTGCTTCCCTTCCAGATCCCTGCCTGTGGCCCAGGAAAAGCAGTCGAGGACGGCCCAAAGCTTTGGGACCCTGCACCCGCATGGGAGACCCGGAAGAGGCTCCTGGCTTTGGATCGGCATAGCATCGGCCCGTTGCGCTCACTTGGGGAGTGAATCATTGGACGGAAGATCTTCCTCTCTGTCTCTCCTCTCTGTATATCCGCCTTCCAATGAAAAATAATAAAAATAAATATTTAAAAAAAAAAGAATTATGTATAGACTAGTCACAGAAGTTTGTATTCTTGTAAACATCTATAATTACCACAAATTTTCTATAATTACAAACATCATGACTACTGATTACCACACTTAAAATTGAATAAGAGGAAAATTATCTAAGTTACAGGTTAATCCAGATTTTGTTTTTTAGTATCATTTTAAAATACTGTAAGTATATTTAATTGTAAATATGTTTGGATATAATTTAAAATTTCAAAAGTAGTTAAATTACAAACCTGCTTAATAAATGCTTTATTTCAGAATAGTTTTAACTTAACAAAGCAAAAATTTTGATAGTGATCCATAGAATTCCTATGTATCCCTTACTACATTTCCCCTGGTAACATCACATGATAGTATCTTTGTCACAATTAATATTAAAGTATAATCTTAAAATGTAAGTATGGGGTCCAGAGCCATGGCATGACTGGCTAGTCTTGCACCTGCAGCACTGGCATCCCCTCTGGGCACCAGTTGGCGTCCTGGATGCTGCGCTTCCAGACCAGTTCTGTGCTGCTGGCGTGTGAAGGTGACAGGATGGAAGTTCTTGGGCCTTCCTCCCAAATGGGGAACCTGCGAGAAGCTGCTGGCTCCGGGCTTTGAGCTGGCCTCCCTTCAGCCTCTGCAGCCATTTGAGTAGTGAACCAGCAGATGAAAGGTTTTCTCTGTCTCTCTCACTTTCCCCTGTCTCCACCCTCAGTATCTCTCTCTGTAACTGCCTTTTTAATAAAAAATAACTATTTTTAAGTGTAAATTTGCCACAAAGCCGTACTATTCTGTGGAACTTAATATGACAGCTCCTGTTACAAGATTAATTTTTTTTTAATACTGGTTTACTAGCATTGCTTGATAGCAGGTTAAGTTTCTGCTTGGTGTCCATATCATAGTGCAGGGCTGAGTTTTCTCTCCTGCTTCTCGCTTCAGATTTGAACTCCCTGTTAATGCCGTGGGAAGGCAGTGGATGACAGATCACTTGCTTTGCACTCATGTGGGGGACCAAGATGGAGTTCCTGGCTCCTAGCTATTGTGGCAATGTGGGGAGTGCACCAACATGTGGGGAATATCTCCAGTGCTCCTTTACTTGTTGCTGTGGCTTTCAAATAAATATACAAATAAGTCTTTTTTAAAAAGTTGATACTTGAGGCAAATCCCTTTTTTGAAAAAGTAGTTGTGGACTGGAGTAGTTGGTAAGGCTGTCGTGGCCTGCACCACCAGCATCTCTAATGGGAGCAGGTTATATCCCAGCTGCTCCGCTTCTAATTCATCTCCCTCTTACCTGCTTGGGAAAGCAGCAAAATACAACGCAAGCGGCTGGCTCCTGCTAGTCATGTGGGAAAGCCCAGTGAAGCTCCTGGCTTTGCCCTGGCCCAGTCCAGCCTTTGCTGCCAATCAGGAAAAAAGCAGTAGATGCAAGCTAGATGTGTGTGTGTGTATCTTCCTCTGACTTCTCTAACTGATTTATAAATAAATAATCTTTTAAAAATACGTTTTAAGGGCCCAGCAACGTGGCCTAGCAGCTAAAGTCCTCGCCTTGAAGGCTCCAGGATCCCATATGGGCGCCGGTTCTAATCCTGGCAGCTCCACTTCTCATCCGGCTCCCTGCTTGTGGCCCAGGAAAGCAGTCGAGGACTGCCCAAAGCCTTGGGACCCTGCGCCTGCGTGGAAGGTCTGGAAGAGGTTCCTGGCTCCTGGCTTCAGATTGGCACAGCACCGGCCGTTGCTCTCACTTGGGGAGTGAATCATTGGATGGAAGATCTTCCTCTCTGTCTCTCCTCCTCTCTGTATATCTGACTTTGTAATAAAAAATGAATCTTAAAATAAATATGTTTTAATCAGAGCCTGGCATGGTAGCCTAGCAGTAGAAGTCCTTGCCTTGTATGTGCTGGGATCCCATATGGGCGCGGCACAGCTCCAGCAGTTGCAGTCACTTGGGGAGTGAATCAGTGAACAGAAGATCTTCTTCTCTGGCCTTCCTCTTCTCTGTGTATCTGCCTTTCCAATAAAAATGAATAAATCTTTTTTAAAAATGTTGCAATCATTAAATTTTGTATTGATAGTAGATATTTCTAGGTAGTAGATAACTATAAGGTATTGGGAGCGAAATGCATGACTTTCTTATGCTTTAATTACCTTTGAATTCTTCAGGTGAATATGCCGCGGCAGCAGAGCTATACAGAGAAGTGCTGCGCTCATCTGAGGAGCACAAAGGAAAGCTCAAAACTGATTCACTTCAAGTGAGTAAAGGCTGGACCGACACAGGTGTATACAAGTATTGACTTTTTCACAGCATAATTTTTTTGAATTTTTAAGGTGTCAAAAGATTCATAATCTTTGGGGATAAAGCTGGGGCTTCTGCCTTTTAATTGCTGGTCGAGGTTATAATCTGTGTTAAAAAATAGTTCAAATTATATGTACATCAAAGAGATCAGTGTTACCAATTTGTGTGTGAATCTTATATATTTATTCACAAGGTTCTCACCACAAAGAAGGATTAGTTAAATTCAGAAATGGAACTCAGCGATAATCAAGCTTCTACAGTATTTTTGTGGTTTAATTGTCGGAGGGCTGTTAATGGAGACTTGGTTAGATGTTTAAACTATAGTACTTGTTTCTGCTTCCCTTCTTGATTCTGTCTACTTATTCTTGTAGACGAAACTCTAGTTAAGGAGGAAGTAGTGACCATTTTTATCACTCTTGGCCTTTGCTTGAGTCTCAGCTGACATCACGTGTGCCCTAATGGGATATTTACAGGAATGTCGGGGAGGACCAAGAGCAGAAACAATTAAGGACTGCTATATTCTATCTGCATGGATAAGCATTGCAAAAGAAGCCCATGGGATGCCCTTTTAAAAAGTTATAGTTACTTGGAAGATATACAGAGAGAAAGATCTTCCAAGCACTGATTCAATCCTGAAATGACACAGCAGCTAGGCTGGTACCAAGCCAAAGCCAGGAGCCAGGGGCTTCTTCCATCTCCCATGTGGGTGCCAGGAGCCCAGGCATCTGGGCCATCTTTCACTGCTTTTCCCAGGCCATTTGCAGGGAGCTGGATCAAAAGTGAAACAGTGGAACTTGAACCAGTGCCTGTGTTGGATGCCAGTGATGTAGGTGGAGGCTTTGCTCACCGGTCTCCAGTGCTGACCCCCTGGTCCTCTTTAAACAAGTGTTGGGCCACACAGGAAGGAGGCAGTACGAAGATGTCCTGCTCCTGCGTAAGGAAGCAAACGTGGGAGAGTAGGCAAGCAGGAAAGGACAGCGTGCCTGACTTCAGAGGTAAAGCGCAAGCAGTCAGCCAGATCCTTGCGTTTGTCACAGTGCTGCCACTAACTCAGAGCTTGGCCTTGTGGGTGTGTCATTGTTTGTGGTTAGCTTAGCCACTGTTTCACTGTTTCCTTGGGGTGAGATGTATGAGGTGGTTGAGAGAAACTAGGTATTCCTTCCACTTCACTACCAGATGCAGAAAGTAACGGAAGTCCTCTTCCACAACCACATAGAGAAGAGGGGACAACTTCCTACCATTTCAGGTTTCTCCAGAACTGTGTGCTTTTCATTTTGCTATAAAATCTGGTGTTGCCTCTGATATTATACATAAAACTATGTTGAAAATATCTGCTAGGCCTGGCACTGTAGCCTAGTGGCTTAATTCCTCTCCTTGCACATGCTGGGACCCCATATGGGCGCCGGTTCTAATCATGGCGGCACCGGTTCCCATTCAGCTCCCTACTTGTCACCTGGGAAAGCAGTCAAGGATGGCCCAAAGCCTTGGGACCCTGCACCCGTGTGGGAGACCCTGCACCCACATAGGACACCCAGAAGGGACTTCAGCTCTTGGTTTCGAATTGCCGAAGCTCTAGCCATTGCAGCTGCTTGGGGAGGGAATCAACGGATGGAAGATCATCTTCTCTATCTGTCTTCCTCTCTGTATATCTGACTTTCCAATAGAAATAAATCAAATCAGCTACACTTTAAGTAACTCTTTCAATATAAACTTTGTAGTGATTTTTACTGTAGTGTGTGGACTGTGGTCAAACAGCATGACCTTTCAGTCTCAGATAACTGGCACCAACCAAGATCTTAACAGAAGGATTCTTCCAGTACAGTTATCATTTGGCCTCTAGCTGTTTTTCAGAATAAAATGTGTAGACAGCGAGTTCCTTGATTTGATTGTCATGGCCTTTGATTTCAAGCGGATCCTGTAGCCAGCCACAGGTGTCAGGTTCACTGTGTGCGGTAGAGAGCTAAAATGCCATTTCTCCTTTTTCTCCCTTTTTTCCTGCATGTCCACTCCTGTTTAACCCTTAAGTTCATCACATCTAGGTCACAACCCTATTTTCTCCCTTTCTTCATTGTTCCTACTTTTATCTTAGTATTACTGCAAGATTCATTCCCTGGAGACAATGAAATTCAGTGCAGTACACCTTTTCTTTATCTGCCCTTCTCAAACTATAGTACATGTAGTACAATATACTTATTTTACATTTTCTGCCAAATGTATAACTGTACTTCATATGACTTGATTTTTTTTAATTCAAGAAAATTGATGTCATTACAATTTAAGTTTTTTGATATGAAACTGACATTTTTCTCTGCAAAGTTGAATCTGAATTATATACTTAAAGTATCCTGTGATGAGCTTTGTGTAATCTTAGTCTTCTCTTTGCCATATGATAATTAATACTGGATCCTCTTTGAAGCCCGTTTCGTTGCCTGTCGTGGTTACTGCTCTTGTGTGTTTGTAGAGACTTCATGCTACACATAACTTGATGGAATTGTTGACGGCCAAACACCCAGGCATACCTCCTACCTTACGAGATGGCAAACTGGAGGAAGAGGTAATAGTTTTAACTTTAATCTGTGAAAGTGTGTTTCTCCAACTTTATGCTCGTTCCAGTTGATTTGTCTTAGCCATTCAGCATTTAAATAAATGTAAACCTCTTTTCCTATTGCTTGACGTTCCCCTTTTGGACATAGAGAATGGCAGTGCTGCATAGGATGTGCTGCTCATGACCTGTTTGCAATGATACGCTCACCACTTGTTGGTAAATAAGCGGCACCCTTAAAAATCAGACCTCGTTGATCACGTTGGAAACGTCAAACATTGGGTTAGTCAAGATAAAGGTTGTACATTTTCTCTACCTTACTGTGTTTTATGTAAAGCAGTAAGATAACTCAAAAGTTCTCTCTACAATAAATGTTGCCCCTTGTTGAGAAGAACAATACTAAAAATTACTTCATATAAATGAATAGGTTGTTATGCTAATTAACTATACCAATTTATATTCCATGTAGCAGAAAGAATACAAGGGTTTTCTTTTCTCCATATGCTCACCAAACTTTCACCTTTTTTCCTAAGAGCTGCCCTGTGATGTGAAATCACTAGCTTGTGGTTTTACTTTTATTTCCCTGAGGGTTTGTGTTGTGGAATGCTTTATATTTACCTGCTAGCCATGTTTATGTCTTGCTTTGAGAAATATCATTTCAGATTTGTGGCTGTTTTTATGTTGTTTTCTTGTTATTGAGTTGTTTTAGTTCCTTTTATATTTTAGATACCAGCTCCTTATGAGAAGAAGCAAATGTTCTCTTCCTTGCGTGAACTCTCTAGTCTGCCGCTGTGTTTTTGACTACCCTGGTCTTGATGTCAGATGGCAGTCACCTGGTTGGAGGTTTCTAGTGAAGTTTCTTTCCCAGTGTAGTCATCAACTCCTTGCATATAATCAGTCACTCTTTAAATGTCTTCAGTTACAGTTTGGTATCTTTGGAACATGGCCCATTCTTTTCGGGTACAACTTTAAAGACCAAATAACTATAACCAGGGTATTATGATAAAATTAATTGGAAGGTTGTAATAGGAAAATTAAAAAAATGAATCATGTATTAAATTAATATATTTCTGAGGAGAATTAGATATTAAATTAATGTACTTCTAAGGAGGTTACATTATCATTTCACATCACTCTCGTGTGTGAAACCACAGTATTTATTTCCTAGCTGGACACGATGTTGGAATTCATGTGCTTAAAACACTTCCTTTTGTGAATAAAGTAATGGAAGCCCAAGAAGTGAATTGGCAGTCTAAAGAGATGATTTTGTTTGGTTGAACCATATGAAATTGCCGTGTTTGTAAGTCAAAATGGTCACGCCCTGGCAATATCGTAAATCTCAATGTACTGCTAAGTGGAAAATGATGTTTCCAATTAAGTCATCTGTAGTTTTCTTCCTGCTGTCCTGAATATCCTTTGATCCTCTCCTTATTCATGAAATTGTTTCTAGAGCCAATTGAGTTTTAAAAATAAAGAATTTTCAATAATATTTCTAATGGCAGCTTATAACAGTAAAATATTGATTGGAAACTATATGATAATTATTCCTTTAAAAAGGAAGGGTTAGAATCTTTAGTACTCTATTTGTGAGCAAGGGCCATCATGGTGAAATAGCACAGACTTGGTTGCTTCAGTAGCAGCAGTGTGTGATGGCTCTGGGCGCGGCATGTCTGTAGAGGGAGCTGTTGCAGGTTTAATCTCTCTCGAGGCTTTTATTTGTAGTTTTTAGGTTGCTGCCTTCTCAGTGAACTCTCCTTTTGCTGGTACAGTGCTAGTATCTTTCTGCTTGTGGAGACATCAGTTTTGTTGGTTTAGACTGCTAGCCTCACAACTTTGACTTTAACTAACTTAATTATCTCCATAAAGGTCCTGTCTGCGTATTTATTCGCTCAGTATAAATTTGGGGAAAACTCCAGTAACTCCAGGAAATTGTAATAGCTAAATCAGACTAGCAGTTCTGATGTGCCCTTCTAATTTGAAATGTTTCTGTTCCGTTCCCCTCCCTGCCCTGCCGCCCCTTTGTTTCTTTGCTAAGAATCTAGTAAAGGGGGACTGGCATTGTGGCACAGCACGTGCAGCACCGCTTGCAATGCTAGTATCCCATGTCCAGTGCAACTGTAAGACCTGGATGCTCCTGATCACTCCCTGCCCCCACGCGGAAGGTGAGGATGGAGTTTCGGGTGCTTCAGCCTGTCTCATCCTCGGTTATTGGTGTCATTTGAAGAGGGGAGTGGCACATGGACAATCTCCCACCGCTCCGTTACATCATTCTGCCTTTCAAACGAATATTTAAATGAACAAACAAAATACTTAAAAAACAAAGTCAAATTAGATAGCAGTCTGCGGGACACATGTTGAAACTTGCTCAGATTTTCTGACTTGGACAGTTATATTTTCTTCTCTTAAACATCTGAGGTTAGCCCCAAACAACCCATGAAAACAGCATGCTGGGAAAACAAAATAAAACCCTGCATTGAATTAAGAAATTTTAGCACCAAAATAAATGCACTGTTGAAGAAAATATTTATCGATTTGAGACACAGTAGAAACAGCCAACACTCTCCCGTTGATTCATTCCGGAAGTGTCTCCAGTGACCCCTGGACGAGATGAGGCTGGTCTGTGGGAACGCACAGCAGATCTCCAGCATGGAAGACACAGCTAGAGCAGACATAAACTGCGTGTCATCTGCTGCTACTGACGGTGTGCACCAGGAGGAAGCCAAATCCGGAGCAGAGCCAGTGCTTGAACCCACGTGCTGAGAGGGCTGCGTGTGGACAGCTTCCAATTAAATTTTTCATGAACTTTGAAGTCCTCTTGTATATATTAGGAATTTCTACTACTACTTTTTAAATATTCTCTACAGTATGCTTACAAGTTTGATACGTAAATCAAAATGCATATCTTTAAGTATATAAAATGACCGCACTGTTTTTGAAATAAATTACTGAATTATTTTCTAGTCTTGCAATGAAGCTTGTATCTACTTTTGGTTTTACTCTAGGCCAAACAACTGCGAGAGCATTATATGAGCAAGTGCAACACAGAAGTTGCTGAAGCCCAGCAAGCGTTACAGCCTGTGCAGCAGAACATACGTGAGCTCCAAAGAAAGGTAGCGGCCCAGAATGCCGGTGTCCGTAGCGCCTCTTCTTACTGTTCATTTGGGCAGAGGTCTGAAATTTATCATTCCTCTTGAGTTCTCAGTGCCTGATATATTGTCTGATCCAAAATACAGGTTTGTTTATTACCAGCAGTATTTATTGGTGGAATGGACAAATACAAAGATGCATACATTATTTTGAAATTTTCTTTTATCTTCTACTATAATAGGTTTCTTACTTTGGGTGTCTACTAAGGTGCCTTTTGAAGAAAAAAAAGACTTCTGTGACCTGCTTTTGATTTCTCCCTCCCCAAATTTATGATTTTAAAACATTAAAACCATAGGTATTTTTTGTTTTTGTTGTTGTATGTGATGTGTGCCACTCGTCATTTACAAATTTCTTTTTTGGGGAATCAGTAGCAAATACTATAAAGCCAACTAAACAGATAGACTCTGGGGGCCATTGCCAGGGCATAGTGTGCTAAGCTTCTACCTGTTCACCGGCATTCTCATATTTTAAAAATATTTTTACTATAGCTTTGTGATATAACTTTATAATGGTAAATTCTCATTCAGAGTATTCATGATCTAAGTGTTTCATTTAGTTATTATTCAAAAATAATGTCTACCCAGTGTGTATTTTTTTGTGTATATTTGTCACCCCCTGTTTAATCAGGTGGAGACCACCATTTGTTGCTCCCTTTGAATTTTACGCATCACCATTCCCACAACGAGGGAAGCATAGTTGAGTAATAAAACAAATATTAACCAATCTACTCGTCTTTTTACAGATTCGTATGAGTTCTCCTTGGTGGCTGAATGTGATACATAGAGCATTGGAATTTGCTATTGATGAGGAACTTGTTCAGCGAGTGAGAAACGAATTAACTAGCAACTACAAGCAGCAAACTGACAAGCTTTCCATGTCAGAGAAGTAAGAAAATAGTGCAGACTAGCGTGGCTGTCAATGAGCACCCTGTGTACTTAGGTCGTCGGGTATTTACAGATATAACTAGGTAGCAAAACATTGTGTCTGTGAACATCTGAGTTTGTTATTTTGTTAAAAATGTATTTCCAAAAAAAATTCTGAAGTATAAAATAGACTTTTTCCTAAAGCATCGTTATGAGTAAAATATTCATTTTTTGTGCCTTTTTAAGAATTTTCCTTAAAAATTTTTGTATTGCATAGACCCAAGCCCCATTTTGAACAAAATTATTAAACAACCTTTGTTTGGCGAAGTTAGTCCTTACGTAGACATTCTTCTGTGTGAGTCATTGTCCAAGAAGTAAGGGTCATCAGTGCCACAGTGCAGCTTTTACCCTCAGCTCCTTGCTTCTCATCAGTGCTTCTCCTTGCTTCTCATCAGTGCTTCTCCTTGCTTCTCATCAGTGCTTCTCCTTGCTTCTCATCAGTGCTCCCCAGGTTAGGCATCTTCTGAAACAAGCTGTGCTGTTGCTCTTGATCTGTAAATTTTAAATAATTCTTTCCAAGGACAGTTTTATTGCTCACCAAAAGTGCCCTAGTGGTTAACTCTGAGAATGTCTGTCTGATACGAGAAAATTCGAGGTTACAGAAGCTAAGTATCTGTCTTCTTTCTGAGACCTCAACTGTGTGAGCTCAGTTTTAGGACTGCTGGGAGTTTTCAGTGAAAAATTCAGCCTAAAAATATCTTTGCAAGGTTTTAACTTACCTTATCAAAAGCTTTTCCAAATCTCTATTAGGTTCTGTAACATTTCCCATGGATTTTATTATAATCACCAACTTTTATTTTTCCTGAGAGAGTCGAACAGAGAGCCGGTGTCCCCTTGTCTAACTCTAAATGCTTGCAGCGGTCAGGATTCAGTCTAGGCTGGGAACTGAGTCAAGGCTTCCCACTGAGTGGAAGGGACCCGGCCACTTGAGCTCTCCACTGTTAACCAACAAGTACACTGACAGAAGCCAGGACTGGAACTGACACATCTGAGAGAGGTTGCAGAGGTCTTAGTCATTGTCTGACTCCCAGCTTGAATACCCATCCCAGTGGTCGTGTGTTTGACCGTACAGAACCTTCTGAGCTGCTTTGTTTCTGGGGTACAGAGAACTGTGTACTCCTGAACACATCTCCTTTTTCCTTTGTTAAGCCCATTCTTCCAGATAAGTTGCTATTTAAGGTATAAACTAAGTCTAAATGTATTCTGCCAGTCTTACGGAATTAGGTAAGGCAATATTAAAACTTTTGAAGTTTTTCAAATGTAAATTGTTTTCTTATGTACCTACTTAAACAATGTAAATTTTCATTTAGAGCAAACCTTGAATGAATGTTTGAGTTCTGAAAAGGGACCTAGAGAAAATATAAACTAGACCATTTATTTTACATCCTTTTTATAAACATTAGGTATAAATAGGAAGTGCTACTTCAGAATATATAAATGAACAAATTTAAGACATATAAAATAAGCTTAGTTAATTTTAAGAATATTACTATGTTTTCAGATATCATTTAAAACTTTATGTTTTTAAGCAGCAATTCTATGCCTGTTAAGCTGTTAAAAAAAAAAAAAAACAAGGTGGTAAGTCTTTGCGTTCGAATTAAAAGTTATTTCAAGAAACCAGCATAGTGGCACAGTGAGTTAAGCTACCACCTGCCATGCCAGCATCCTTTATGGTTGCCAGTTTGTAATTCACTCAGGTGTTTCACTTCCAAAGGTGGCCCAACTGTTTGGACCTCTGCTGCCCAGCTGGCACATGTGGGTTTGGGTTCCAGGCTCCTGGCTTTGCCCTGGACCAGCCCTGGCTGGTGCGGCCATCTGGAGGCTCATAAAATGAGTAGACATTAAATGACTCGTCTGCCTCCCTCTGTCACTCTGCCTTTCACATAAACAAACAGACTTTAAAAATAAAATAATGATTATTTCAAAATAACCTTTGAACAGAAGACCTGTGAACAGTTTGAAAAGTACTAATTTGTATGACATCTGAACAGACAATAAGCAGGTACTAACATGACTGTTTACTAACATTCAGTAAACTCCATGGACAGAAGGAATGACACCTTAGTATTGGAAGGCACTGGGGAAGGTTCCAGAGGGAGAGCAGACGCTGGAGCAGTTTGAAGGAAAGCGTGTGGCGTTTCCTAAATGAGAAATGCATTCCTAACATAATCAAATTATCTTTATTATCTAATTGCCTATAATGCTAGAAATTTTCCATTGGCAAAGCCACACATATATATCCATATATCTTTATTTCAGCCCTTTTGGTGTACAGTTTACCAAAACAATTAGCTCCTCTTTGGCCACATACTAATTTTGTAATTTAGATGCCTTAATGTATTATACTTCCTCTATATTGTGAGTTTGGTAGTTAACTATTGAAATTATGCTGCAGAACTGTTTAGCACATTGCCTGGCATGTAATAAATGATTAATGAAAACATAATGAATTATGTTAGGGTTTTTTTTTTTTGTAAGAAGAAAATATAACACCCATCTTTGTTCTTTCTTCCCAATGTTGTCTCTTTTCCATGGAAGCAGGTTTGTCAGGAGGCTCATCTCTAGTGAGTGAGCCATAGGGAGGGAGATGTGGCTGTTTCCCTTTCAGGGATAGCGGACACACAGACAGGTTGTGCATACGCTTCCCTGAGTGTAAAGCTGTAAACCTTCTTCATGTCTTCTGCAGTAAAAACCCAAATGTTTTACCTTGACTACTAGTAGTACTAACGGAACACACACTCTTAAGGAAAACTCAGTCCAGTGCGGTGGAGTTGACTAAGCACAGTTGTGTTTTATTTTAAAATATTTTGCACAGCAGACATTTTCTGAATTTGAAGAAACTGATGATTTCTTTCTGTTGTGTGCGGTGCTGGTGATGGAAATCAGGTTCCGCGACTGCAGAGGTCTTCAGTTCTTACTTACCACGCAAATGGAAGAGCTGCATAAATTCCAGAAGCTGGTAAGAGACGCCGTGAGAAACCTGGAGGGGCCTCCGTCTCGGAGCGTTATTGAATCTGCGACAATCTGCCATCTCCGACCCGTTAGACTCCCCCTCAACTGGTAGGTCAGAGTGAGTCGTTTGTAAAATGGTAGCCTTCCTATAAGGTAGATTTCTTTTGAGAAAAGAGGGAATGACAACCTCAAAGACAGAATACTGAAAATTACATAGCATTTTTATCTCAGGTGATAAAACTTGTGGAGAAAAAGTACAGAATGCTAAGACTGTCATAGAAGCTTCTTAATTGTTAGTTATGTTTGTATTTCTCTGAAAATCTCTTGTTTTACAGCTGCGTCTTTTGCAAAGCTGATGAGTTGTTTACAGAATATGAATCAAAACTGTTTTCTAACACGTAAGTTCTCTTATTTGCTGGGAAAAGTGAAATTTTACAAGACTTTGTTTTTTGCTTCTAAGGCTATATTTTCCTCACTGTGATACGTTTTTGACATTTTTTCTTTTATTAGAAAGTTCTGTGAAGTTGTAACATTCAGTTGTTTGACTTGCTCAGTTTTACCTATGTGGGAGTTATCTCCTAAATGCTGTGATTATATACTAATGTGTAGCTAATTAGGGGGCAGTTAATGACAACTCCTAATTCATAGTTTGTGTGAATATTATGTAAGAATATGGATGTAATTTATAGCATAATACTTAAAATATGCTATGTTTGCTATTAAGTATTAACTCCTTAATACTCAACTTCCTACACAAGTGTTCATTGTTACTTTGAAGATTAACCTGCATAAAGTAATACATATAGCCCTTGCATTGGCAAAATTATCCCTGGTTTACAAACATGAAAACAGAAAATACTACATTCTGATTGCCTCAAAAATCAAGGGATTGAGAGTATACTTGTAGATGATATCGTAGTGGGGATTTGGGGGGTTTTTGTATGATTGTTGTTGGTGGCCTATGTTTTAATTTTCACAGTGAAAATCTGTAATTTGTGGATTTTTTTTTCATTATACAAGATTACTGTCAGGATATACTGAACAAATTTATAATGCTGATATTATCTTCAGAGATAATGTGCTTTTTCCAAAAGTTGCAAGCATGATCCTGTAGACATGCCGTTAAAAGTTTTTGAGATGCTATTGACCTTGCTTTCCTGTTTCTTCTGTCACTGTCACTCAGTTACAGTGCCTCTTACCCAATGCCAGTAGTTACCTCTTGTTTTCTTATGTGTGTTTTTAGAGTCAAAGGTCAGACAGCAATATTTGAGGAGATGATAGAAGATGAAGAAGGACTGGTAGATGATCGAGCACCTACCACCACCCGTGGTCTGTGGGCAACAAGCGAGACAGAGCGATCTATGAAAGCAATCCTGTCATTTGCAAAATCACATAGATTTGATATTGAATTCATTGATGAAGGAAGTATTGCAATGGACCTGTTTGAAGCATGGAAGAAGGAGTACAAGGTACTGTATTGTCAAACTTGTTTCTAGGGGCTGGCCCTGTTCATATGGGGTGTGGCCATCGCCTGCAGCGCTACCACCCCACATGACCTGTTTAAGTCCCAGCTGCTTCACTTTTGATCCAGCTCCCTGGTAATGTTCCTAGAAAAGGATGGAAAGTGGCTCAAGTGTTTGGGCTCCTGCATACAAATGGAGTACCAGAAGAAGCTCCGGGAGAAGCTATAGCTTTGGCTTGGCAAGTTAATTCTCCACCTGTACCGCTGACTTCCCAATTCGACACCGGTTCAAATCCTAGCTGCTCCATTTCCAATTTAGCTCTCTGCTTACAGCCTGGGAAAACAGCTGAGGATTGGCCCAAAGCCTTGGGACCCTGTACCTGCATGGGAGACCTGAAAGAGCCTCCTGACTCCTGTCTTCAGATTGGCTCCACTCTGGCCATTTTGACCATTTGGGGCCTGAACCAGTGAATGAACTCTCTCTCTTTCCCTCTTTGTCACCTTCTCTCGATGTAAATCTGCCACTCAAAGTAAATTTTTAAAATTTATTTTATTTATTTTTTTTTTTAGCTTTGGGCTCCTTGGTTCCTGACTTTACCCTAGTCCAGGCCCAGCATTTACAGCCATCTAGGGAGTGAACAGTGAACCAGCAGATGGAAGATCTCTCTTCTGTCCTCTCTCTGTAACTATGCTTTTCAAATAAAAATAAGTAAATCTTGGCAGGTGGGAAGGGCAGGCATTAAGACACAAATAGGAAGAGATCTTCTATTCATTGATTCACTTCCCTAATGACTACAAGAGCAAAGACTAGGTCTGGAGTCAGGAGCTCAATTCAGTCTCCCATATGGGTGATGGGGAACCAGCTATACGAGCCATTACCTGAGCCTCCCTAAGGTGTACATTATCTGAAGTCTATAGTGGAGATCTCAGCAAAGACTTGAACGCAGATACTGTTAACATGGGGTGCAGGCATCCCAATAGCCACTTCACTGCTGTGTCAGGCATGCGCCCCTCCACTCCTTTGCACCAAGCACGCATCCCTCCATTCTTTTGCATTAGTTTCGATTGCTACTTTCCTTTTTCTTGCTCCTGTTTTGTTTACATCTGCTTTAAAGATTGGAGATTCATACTTCCGCCTTCCATAAAGTGTTACTATTGTAATGAAAAATAATAACTTTTTTAGCTTTGAAAAATATGCATTTGTTTTTAGTTTATTTTATGGTGCTCATCAATGAACTCAGTTGGGTTTGGTCTTGTTTTACTTTGTGAATAGCAGTCAAACATCAGTAAACTTGAAGATCGGAAAGAATAGGAAATACTTAGCCTTCAGGACTGGAAAGCATTCCAAAACAGTAAAACACAAAATATCCTTCCTTTCATGTCAATATCTGAGTTATTCCATAGGGTTATAACACCATGCTTAATATTCTGAAATTCATTAATTTAAAAATATTCTATGTGTTCTTTTTTTAAAAAGATTTATTTTTGCTTATTTGGAAGAATTAAAGATCTTACCTCTGCTTGTTCACTCCCCAAAGGGTCGAGTGGGAGGGGTGGCATTGGCTGAAAGCAGAGGCCTAGACGTTCTTCTTAGTCACCCATGTTGGTGCCTACTGGGCCTAAGTACTTGGCTCATCTTACTTTGGTTTTTCCAATTCTTTAGCAGGGAGCTGTACTAGAAGCAGAGCAGCTGGAATTTGAACTGGAACCCACATGGGATGCCTACAGGGCAGGCAGCAACTTTGCCCTCTATGCTGAATCCTAAAATCATTCTTTGTATTTGAGTTTATCTGTTATCTTGCCTCATGCGTGAGGAACGGTCCTTCAATGCACAATGCATCAACTCTGTATGATTTCTAATCTGAAGTTCTTGCTTTACAAAGAAGGATAAAGAATTCTGTGCAGAATATTGTAGGATATCTACAGGATCAATTCATATGATAAATTCCATAAATTAAAAATTAATGGTTAATAATGCTTTTTCTCATGCATTATTATTCTAAATATAAAGCACATTAATACAGTTCATTATAGTAAGCCAAGGACGAAAGCATCGCCTCTGTGCTCTCCGTATGCCAAGTCCAGACATGCGCTACTTTGCAAGCTAAATCATTTATAGAAAAGGGGTGATCTGCTGCTCTACATATCAACCAGGATCAGCCTCAAAATTCAATGCTAAGGAAAAAATTTAAAAATATGTACTGAATATTGTATTTCTACAGCTTCAGAAACCTAACCAAATTATTGAGGATACATACAGTGTGTGCCAGTGAAAGGAATGGTTCAGAATAGTGATTGTCTCATTGCAGGGTGTTGAAGGAGGAACATGTGAGGGAAATGCGAGTGAGTATAGAGGTTTCCCAAAGCACCTGTATGCTCTTCAATTTGGATGAGGGCTGGCACTGTGGAGTAGTAGTCTAAGCCTCTGCCTATAGTGCTGCCATATCCTGTGAGTCCTGGTTAGAGTCCTGGCTGCTCCACCTCTCATCTAGCTCCTTGCTTTTGACCTGGAAAACTCATGGGCAACCCCAGAGAGGTTCCAGGCTCCTGGCCGGGGACCTACTCAGTTCCAGCATTGTCTCGTTTTGGGCATTGAACCAGCAGATGGAAGATCTCTCTCACTCTCTCTCTCTTCCCTTCTCTCCCTTTTCTCTGTAACTCTGACTTTCAAATAAAGTAAAAAATAAATCCTTAAGGAAAAAAAAGGAAAACTTGAATGACAGAAAGGGATAGCAACCTTTTATTTTAGTTCCCAATATATATGCACATAATTTTTTAAATGAACTCAGTATTCTGTCATGTATAGCGAACTTTGGTTTCACCAGGAATTCTTCACGTATTCTATTTCTAATATTCTTAAGAAGTAGGCAGTGTGTATGGAGATGGTTCAATCCTACTTCCTCATTTCTAAAAATGTCCTAAGGAATTGTTTGTATCTTAGACACTTAATGAAAAAGTGTTTCTGTCTTAAGACCTACTGAGGACTTTTGCTCAAGGCACATCTTGGTTGATTAGCTAGCTTTTATTATGTGCTCTGTTATGTTCTGTGATTTCCTCCCACCTTTTCTAGTTGCTTCATGAATATTGGATGGCTCTTAGAAACCGCGTGTCTGCTGTTGATGAACTCGCCATGGCCACAGAACGACTGCGAGTGCGTGATCCGAGGGAGCCAAAGCCCAGTCCGCCTGTTCACCATATCATTGAGCCGCAGGAGGTAACTGCAAGTACATCTCAGAAACAGCCCCTGCAGGACTGGTGTTGCACAAACGCAAGGCACACAGTAGTGAGCACAGGACTGGTGTTACACCAACACAAGGCGCACAGTAGTGAGCACAGGACTGGTGTTACACCAACACAAGGCGTACAGTAGTGAGCACAGGACTGGTGTTACACCAACACAAGGCACACAGTAGTGAGCACAGGACTGGTGTTACACCAACACAAGGCACACAGTAGTGAACTTTCTATGAGGATCTGTTTAAACTTCTAACCAAAAGTTTAAGCAATAGAAAATTTAGTCAGAAATAGTGAAGATGAGCAATTTCCTAATTAACTCTGTGGTTAGGATCCACTGTTTTGGTGGAATACATGTGTCTCTCTAGGTTTCATGTCCATCTCTATTTACATACAGTTTTTGTGACTCATGAGTCACTTTTCAGATATATTTTCTGTTAACTTTATCAGAACTAGAACTAGTGTTTTGTTAATGGAAATCAGCAGTTTGTCCTCTAATAAATCCCTTTTTGAATATCAGAATTAAAACATTGCCAATTCTTTCTATTTGATGTTAATATTATTGCTTTCTTTATACTTTGATTCTGTGTCTTTGCTTTAAATCTTTTTGCTATGATGCTTCGAAACTAACTTTTAAACATCATTTGCTCTAACATATTAAAGTGAGTTCAGTAAATTTCTGTGAAACAAATCCTTATTTGAATTCTTCTGTGTCTGCTGGGTCAAGGATAGGGGCAGGAACAGAAGGATTGTTTCCTGAATTTAGTAAAGTTACTCTTGCTAGAGCAGTAGATCCTTTAATTTTCGTTCATGCTATAGATCTATCCATGGAAACTGATAATAAAGCAGACTTTGGGTGAATTCATATCTACTTCATGTATAAAAGTATATTTCCTGTTTAAAAGAACTGTATTGTGAATTTTTTGTTCTGTGAGGCAAAAACAAAAATAAAATCTTCAAAATCCAATAACCATTTTGAAATCAGTTTCAATATTGAAATGGGTTTTCTTAAAGTAGGATTCTTTCTTTTTGTGAAAAAATTATACATATTTAATATAGTTTAACCATCTCTTTCAAAGAACTAATAAATGCATTTTGTATTTTTAGGTAGAACAAAATCGTATGAAACTACTAAATGATAAAGCCATTGCTACGTCACAGCTTCAGAAAAAACTGGGCCAGCTTCTTTATCTGACTAACTTGGAGAAGGTATGCTGTTGAAAGTATGCTGTGCTTTACCATGCTGCATTATCATAACTGTTTTAGCAACTCCTTCCTTTTAATTTGCTAATGTCATAATTATTGTTTTTGTTTTAACTTGATCCTTTCATATTTTTTTTTGAAAGACAAAATGACAGTGACAGGCAGAGATCTCCCATCCACTGGTTCACTCCATGAATTGCACAGTGGCTAAGGCCTGGGCCAAATGGAAGCCAGGAGCTCAGAAGTCAGTCTAGGACTCCTATATAGGTAGCGCATACCTGCAAACCTTAGCTGTCCCCTCTTGCTTCCCAGTAGACATCAACAAGAAGCTGAAACCAGCAGCAGAGCCAGGACTCAAGAAACCCAGGCATTCCAGTACAAGGTGCCCCTTCACTATGGTGCCAAGAACCCACCCTCTAAACTAATTTTTTATTTGTGTTTATGAGTCAGAATACTAGCTATGTCTATATAAGCTACAAAGACACAAAATATTGTAGCAGTAGAGCATACAAGTTGTACAGAGTTGTGCAGCAAAAGGCATACACTGCATAGTGAATGGCCTTATAATGTGGTTGCAAAGCCTTGAATAGAAAGTGTTATATGCCACAAACCTATGGGTGGAAATTGTATTATATGTGCACATGCACTCATACATATGCAGATTTTTTTGATTGAAACTGAAATGTGTTTTGAAAGCAGCTAAATCAGAAGGCATGATAATGCAGGAATAGTTCAGTCATTTACTTCAGAACATTTTCTGCGTTGTGATCAAAGTATTATTTTTGACATTAGTGAATTGTTGGGTCACTGTTGAATATAATTCCTTCCTTTGCAGGAATTCATAATTTGACAGTAGACAGAGCACTTTATTAGAGCTAGATATTGAAGTAGATTTTTTAATAGGGTATATCCAAATTAGCATCTATAAGCTGTAATATTACTCCAACCACAAACAGCCTGTATCACATGCAGTAAGATATTGTGATGTAACCATTGAACGAACAATCAGTGTGAGTCAGACTGCTTATGATCTACATCAAAGAACTGTAAAATCTAACATACTTTTAAGACCCTAAGCTACTCGAAAATGGGGCGGGAGAGCAGAGAAATCTTCCATCTACTTAGAATGTGTGAGGAAGACGTGAAGTACAACCTATCAGGAACATAACAGGTAACTCATAGACAACAAACTCAAATCAGCATTAGGCAATACTAAAACTACAAAGACATATAAGGGGAATCAGGAGCGATCCTGAGAATCTCTTAACAGGAAGACATATGCACAGAGCAGGGGGACCCCAGAGTGGAGCAGGTAGACAGGAAGAGGCTTGTATCCCAACACTGAAGACTCCCGGATCCTCACCAAGGACTATCAGTACAAGCACCAAGGACTACATCCCAACTGCCAAGGAGACCACGGGGAATTGGAGTGCCTTTGGAGGCAGAGAACTCTGAGGTCACCCACCCCCATTTGGATCTACCACATGCGATGCAAGAAACCCAAATCCTTCCTCACAGGATCCAAAGTCATCAGAACAACAGCCAGGAGCCCTGAGTGGTCTGCAGAAACAGAACAGTAAGCTTCCTTCGGGACTAGGGAGAGGAGCTTTCCTGGTCCTTACTTAGTTCCAACTTTGGATCCCCACCCTCTCTTGCAATGACCATCAGAGTCGCTCCGCACCCCACCCCACCCCAACCCCCAAAAAATAGAATAGACAGAGAACAACAAGGAAAGCATAGAACTAGACAGGAAACTGTCAGTGTGAGCTTACACGTACCTTACCAGGTAGAACACGAAGATTAGTTATTTTTCACTAGGGTATTGAAGATTTCTCTGAATACCCCTCCTAAAACTGTTCTGCACCTCAACTGTTGGCAAATGCTTTATTAGATTTATAAGCCAGTTTAAACTATCCTAAAATGCGCCAAGTTCAGCAAAATCATGCTTCAACGCTATAAACTGCTAAATGCTAAAATGAAAATAGACACGAGACAGCTGAATAGTACCCCTTAGCCATTTTAAGGTGTACAGCAGCTGGTTCTGTGTGTAAACTAAAATTGAAATGTCAATGAAGTGGTCACAGGATGTGATTAAGAACTTGCATTTTTTTAAACATGTATTGATTACTCAATACCATGTCAGTTAATTTGATAATGTTATAAATTGTTGTTGATGTTGTGTTGAGGCTTTTAATTGATCAGGATGATATTCTGCCAGCTCTACCTTTAGAGCAGAGATGGTCTCTCCAAGAAACCCTTGAATTTATCTGAACAATAAGATGCTGGACTCTATGCTTGGTATATGTTTGCAAAGAAAGAATCTTGACTGGATTTGTACTGTAATACTGCAACAAAGTGCAGGAATCCTCCCTGGGGGGAGGGTTTGGGGAGGGGGAAGGGGAATCCCAGAGCCTATGAAACTGTGTCACATAATGCAATGTAATTAATTAAAAAAAAAAAGCCTCAGATTGAAATGCCAAAAAAAGATTTAACCCTGAAAACTGTTAACAGCATATAGTTAAATGAATCATTCCATCCAGTGATGGACACTGAATTTGACAGTCCCTAATAGTTGAACTAGGGTGGGAGTTTAAAAGATAGACTTTGAATGTGTACAGTCCAAATTGAATCATGACTCCGCTGTTTTCTAGATGTGTGACTTTATTCATTATTTATCTCTCTGACACCTGTTCCATAAGAATGGTAAAACTGTCTTTTCGAGCTTTCCTAGGGGATTACAAAAATTAATAATTTAGAGCCTGGCATGGTAGCCTAGTGGCTAAAGTCCTCACCTAAGAATGCATCAGAATGCACGTGGGTGCTGGATCTAATCCTGGCAGCCCCGCTTTCCATCCAACTCCCCACTTGTGGCCTGGGAAAGCAGTTGAGGACGGCCCAAAGCCTTGGGACCCTGCACCATGTAGGAGACCCAGAAGAGACTCGAGGCTTCTGGCTTTGGATTGGCTCAGCTCCAGCCATTGTGGTCACTTGGGGAGTGAGTGAATCAGTGGGCGGAAAATCTTCCTCTGTTCAGTTAGTTCTTGCAATTAATATATGATCTAGATTAAGTTGTGTTTTCAATGTGTAAATGACATAAGAAAAAGCTCTTAGAAAGTTCAGAGAGAATATATGCAATTGAGATACAGTTCAAATGTTGTGAATATATTCAAAACAAATACAGAAAAACAAAAATTCTGAGTAGCTGATTTTCCTGGCAGTCACCAAATTTTTTGTTGAACAATTGTTATATAAGTGTATTATACTAGGATTTGAAATCAACAGCCTTGGGAATTGCCCTCCAGTTTTGATGTAGACATTACAGATGTTAATTGAATATTGAACTACTACCATGATAGCGATAAATCCAAGGCTTGCTACTGTCTTACTAATTGGAAGATTCGGTTAAATCTCAATCATAAAATGACATACTTTGAAGAATAATGCAAATGTTTAAAGATGAATATGTTACATTATTAATATTTTTCAGTGTTAGCTGGTAAATTTCAAATGGGTCTAAATGATAAACAAACAAGAAGAACCTTCATAAGTAATGGTAGGCAACTAGATGAGCTCCTTTTTTTCTTTAAGATTTATTTATTTTTATTGGAAAGGCAGATATACAGAGAGGAGGAGAGACAGAGAGGAAGATCTGCCGTCCAATGATTCACTCCCCAAGGAGCCACAATGGCTAGAGCTGAGCCAATCCAAAGCCAGGAACCTCCTCCAGGTCTCCCAAGTGGGTGCAGGGTCCCAAGGCTTTGGGCCATCCTCAACTGCTTTCCCAGAGAGCTGGATGGGAAGCGGGGCTGCTGGGATTAGAAATGGCACCCATATGGGATCCCAGCGCTGCAAGGCAAGGACTTTAACTACTACACTATCGTGCCGGTGCCGGGCCCTAGATGAGCTCTTTGATAGTATATTAGTATTGTTCTTTGATAGTATATTAGTATTGTAATGTATCATTTTTATTTCTAAATAGGAATAACACTTAATGATAAACTATCATTAATTTAACAATTAGAGTAGGGAAGGCTATTAAGGAAAAAAATCTGTCTTAAAAATAATGGAAACTTGGGCCTGGAGCAATAAATAGCCTAGTCACAATGTCCTCACTTTGCATCTGCTGGGATATCATATGGATGCCAGTTCATGTTCCAGCTGCTTCATTTCCCATCTAGCTCCCTGCTTGTGGACTAGAAAAGCAGTAGAGGACAGCTCAAAGCATTGGGACCCTGCACTCACATGGGAGACCCACAAGCTCTTGGCTCCTGGCTTCAAATCAGCTCAGATCTGGCCTTTGCAGCTACTTGGAGAGTGGACCAGTGGATGGAAGATCTTTCTTTCCATATCTCCTCTGTATACCTGCCTTTCCAATAAAAAAAAAAAAATACAAAATGAATCTTACAAAAAAAAAATAGTGGAAACTTGTGAAAGAAAAGTAGCTGAGAAGAGATGACCATTAAATGTAGACCTGCAGATACTCCAAATTGTTGATATAGCAAGAAAGGATTTTAAAGAATTATGATTAATATGCTGGAGAAAAAGTTCAGTTAAATGAGTTGGAATCTGTATAGTTAAAATCAAACAGACATTTTAGAAATTAGAAAAAAAAAAGGGATATGAAATCAAAAACGCAGTGACTAGGGAACAGACACAGGAAGAAAATACGATTACTGAACTCAAGCGTAGTACCATAGAAATATTCAGTTTAAATTAGTGAGAGAAATAGAAAATAGAAAGGGAAGAGATAGGAGACACGGACATGTCATCTGGCATGTTTACAATTAAAGTCAGAGAGAAAACCATGAAGACAGTGATGGCCAGTAATTTTGTAAAACTAATGAATGAGATTTTGAAACTTCCTTCCTTGATTGAAGGAACTAGCAGAACCCCTTGATGGAGAGTGGAGGGAAAACAGGAATATCACAGGCAAACTGCTAAAAACTGGAATAATGAAAACATAAAAACGATCAGAATTAATAGAAAAAGAATACTGCATACCAAAGAGTACTATTAAAATTGATGGACACATAGCCTTTTTCTTTGAATGTTTCAAAGGTATTTTTTCCTCTGGTTACTTCATTTCTGTAGCTTTTCTGTGAAACCAGTTAAACAGTGCAACCACATGTTTAAAAAACCTGAAAGAAATTGCAACATATAATTTTATATCTGCACAAAATATCATTTCAAAAAAATAAAGGGACTAGCATGGCATCGTAGAAGGTCCTGGCTTCTGATTCCAGCCTGGCCCAATCCTGACTGTTGTGGTCATTTGCAAAGTGAACCAACGCATGAAATATTTCTGCCTCTTCCCTCTATTACTTTACCTTTCAAGTAAGTAAATGTATCTTTTGTAACAAAGTGAAATAAAGATACTTTCAGATAAACAAGAAGTAAAAGAAGATGCATCCCCATTGAACTCCCTGTCCAGTTATTTAAGGCGGTTCTCACTGAAAAAGATCCCAGGTTGAAGACTCAAGTTGTAGAAAGGAATGAAGAGCATGGGAAACTTAAATAGTACATAAATATGAATGAATACTTATATAAATAAATATAAAATAATTTTAAGCAACAGCACAATTATGTAGAATATGCAACATATATGAAAATTAAAATGTAGCACAGTTACACAAAGGAAAGAGGTAAACTAGGATCTGATTCTTTTAAGAGAAATAGACATACAATCTCTCAGTGTAGTAGCATTTGAACACATGGCCTATTTGGCACAGACAGCTACACTCAATAGCTACAGAACCACAAGATTTACAGTGTGGACCACTGGCTAATTGAAAACGCAATTCTAAAAGGTTTCAAAGTATCAAAATTATGTAGGGATATATTCCTGAGCAAAAGGAAATTAAACTAGAAATTTCTAGTGGAAAATCACTAGATAAATCCTCAGTTATTTGGAAATTAATAACACATTTCCAAATAACTCATGGTTCAAAAAAAAATCACAGTGGAAATTAAAAATGTTCAGAAATAAATGAAAGTTAAAGTGTGTGACACTATGCAGGTAAGTGTGTGTGCTTACAAGGAAATTTATGTGAATCAGGAGTCTACACACTGCTACATGTGGAGCAAATCCTGCCCACCACCTAGCAAAAGTTTTGTAGGCGCGCAGCTGCACCCGTTCATTCGCCTGTTGTCTATGACTGCATTTCACAGTAGAGTAGCGCCGTTGAGCAGCTGCAACACCACAGTATGGCCACAAAAACTTACAATCTGACCATGTAAAGAAAAACCGCCAACTCATTGTTTAAATATATTGGAAAAGATAACATTGTGAATTATGACAGACGATTCAGAAATTACTGTAATTATATCCCTGTTTGTGTACAAGGCTTCAAGCAGTCCTCTCCCTTGTAAGTTCTGTGTTGGTCAGTTGACTTACTTTGCTCTTAAGACAAAAGCAGAGAATGAAAAGGCACGCACAGTGCCTTCTCCCAAGCTTTGGTTACTCTGCAACTGAACCATGTAAAGAAACCCTACTTCCCTCAGCCTTCCTTCTGGACCAGTGAACCTCTTTATTATGAAACGGGAGTATGAGGCCGTGTTGACTCTCCAGCCTCAGCCACGTTTGCTATCCCTAGAATATCTTAGGTGACCAGTAGTGAAATGCTTTCGTAATTCAACATGTTTTAATGTGCTATTATACATTATTTGAAATGATTTAATTAGTGAAGCCACAGGCAAAAATCGTAATGATCTATCTAATTTACTTTCCTTTATATTTTCCGTAAATTTAAAACCTCCATATGGTAACTTTTTGAAGTTCCTACAGTTCTTATAATAGTTTGAAAAGATAGGAGAAGGATGCTGAGAAGCAGGTGGTTCTGGTAATGTTACCTGAGAAATGCTGTCTCTTCCCTTGTATGTGATCCCATGATAAGCAAACATGGAGAGGAAGTACAGCTTTCTCCCGTTTTTGAAGAACTCCTCAAAAATTTATGAACTACACATTTTAAAGTACTCTACAGTTCTTTGTAAAAATCTAAGCTGAAAATAAAATTTTGAAAATTTAGCTTAGATTGTACTTTTAATTTTGCCTTGATTTATAATCACAAAACAGTAATAGGATGACAAGTTGTATTAAAGATTTTTTTTTTCATTCTTGGTTCACACTTTGAATTATGTCTTAGTTCCAGAAATAATAATCCTATCTGGTTTGTAAAGTATCATGTCACCTCAATTATTAGATTATTTAAGTGGCAGTTCTTAAATGTGTTATAAGACATGTATCAGATCTTAAATATAAAACTGTAATTAATGTATTTTTGGATTCTTCTATTTGCCCAGTCTCAAGACAGAACATCGGGAGGCATTAATCCAGAGCCTTGTCCCATCTGCGCCCGACAGCTGGGGAAGCAGGTGAGGTTATGACGTCAGGTGTGAAACAGTTCACATCGCTCAGACTTCCACAAGGTTTCTGGGTTTCTTCTTTGTCTGTTTTTCTCATGACAACTTTGTATGAAAGGCAAGTGCTAGCTCTGCCATGAAGGAAGGCCAGAGGATATCTAAAAACATGCTGGGATCATATCACATATTCCCTGAGAACTCATCTTCCATATTTTATACTAGCTGATTTCTTCCTGCTTTGTATGATAAATCAATATATGTGTTATCACAATATTTGTTGCATTTCGAAATTTAAGCTAAACCTATTACTATTAAATGAGTAGAGCATTGTTGGCCATATTTTTCTATGGATATGAGAATGAAGAGTTTAATGTATAAGTACCATGTTATAAGACAGTAATCAGAGAGAAGGAACATGCGGGTGGCAGGTGGGATCTCGAAGGGTCCTGCCATTGGCTGTGACCCTGGATGGCTGTTACAGTTAACTGAGCGGCAGCAGCACAGTGCGCTACAGATACTCGGGGTCTGTGACTCAAGGGAATGATCAAAATGGCTTGGCATCAGCTGTGCTGAAAACAGGACGAGTGATCACATAGAATAGTATTTTTTTCCCTTTTGGACAAGATCCATGCATCTGATTGTCTCTGAAATTATGTCATTTTCCCCCTAAACCTTTACAGTTTCTGGAGTTCTTTAACTTACACTGTCTCATTTAATTGTAGCAGAACATCAGTCTTCTAAAAGACAAATATATCAGATTACTATAGTAGTAATAAAACTACTCTTAACATTTGGTTACTTATTTGAAAGGTAGTTACAGTCCTCAGGGACAGCGCAGAGCAGCCGACACATGCCCTGCAGGCTTTGCCATTTGCCTTTTCTCGGCTACTTCCATCAGTTTGTATTGATTGAGGTTTGTGTTTGTTTTTAATGTATCCACAATCACTTCTTAAATAAATTTGACACTAGTCTATCTCACTGTGTATAGCAAATATTTTGACTTGTGAAAATATAAATCTATTTTAAAGATTAAATAATACAGTTTTTAAGTATATGTTATCTCCAAAATGATGTTCTCATTTCTTCTATTATATCTGCTGTGATAATATGGAAGGAGTAATTTGCATTTTTACTGAATCTGAAAGGAGAACCCCTACTTCTTACAAACTAATACCTGTAAAACTCACTCAGGGTATGCCAAGCTAAATATTGGGAACTTCGGGACCAAAAGTTACTAATTTGAAGTACCACTGGCTTTAATAACATAAAATATTAATTTCATGAAACAAAGTAAAAATTGTTTTACTCTATTCTACTAAATTTATAGATTGCAAGACATCTTTGCCAGCCCGAGGTTTTTGTTCTGTGTGCTTCCTTTGCAGTGGGCAGTACTGACGTGTGGACACTGTTTCTGTAATGAATGTGTTTCTATCATCATCGAGCAGTACAGCGTGGGGTCTCACCGCAGCGCCATCAGGTGTGCCATCTGCCGCCAGACCACTTCCCACAAGGAAATCTCGTACGTCTTCACCTCGGAGAAAGCCAGCCAGGAGGAAGACATCCCCGTCAAGGTAAAGTGAGTCAGAAGTGTGTGGAAGCGTAGGTGCGGCAATGTGGGAGAAAGCAGTGTGTGGATGAGGACACTAGGATGAACAGCACAGGTACAGTGACTCTAGGAATCACTGTTGCCCACAGAGATGCCTCCCAGCCACAGCTCTGTACGTGGGAGGACGGAAGAACACTTAGAAGCGTATGTAGCAGTAGTCACAGCCACCGTGTCAAGAAAATAGCATAGAATTCCATCTGATTACTTGTGGATTTTTCTGTTCATTAGAAATAGGTGAAAATCTGCTTAAATTGTTGTGAAAAAGTTTTTTCTATATTCTTTTGCACAACCCTGTAGTGAAAAGAAAAGAATGTATCCAACTAAATTGAAGGAAACTGAAGAATATACTTTCAAAAAAGGCGGTGGTGTACTTTTAAATACTATGGATTGATATTTGGGGCAGAGCAAATTGCCTTTTATTTTTGTAAGGTTTTTTTTTTCTTCTTTCCAAATTTTAAGAAAATGATTATATTTGGAAATCAAAACATGATCTATAATTAACCTTTCTTAGTTTATTTAACTGTATTATTTAATTTTAGTTAATGAGAAACCTTTACTAGATATGTGTTCTTATTTTTCTTAAATATATGTTTTGAATGTCTTCAAACCAAACATGGACAAGCTCAAATCAGTAATATAAATATAGTAGGGTGTAAGAGCCTCAATAAGTAGTTTTGAGAGCGGTGGGACTGACTCCTAAGAAAGAAGGAAAATCTTGATGCGTTTGTTCTATGTGTCCTTGATGCTGTCTTCACTCATTCCTGAGAATGTTTGGTGGCTAGAAACAAGAACAGTTATTATCGTGTTTTCCCTCTAAAAAGCTATAGTTGACTTAAAGAATTTTTTATCACTGGGTTTTTTTCTCTCAAGTGATTTGAGCAAAGTCTGATAATCAGTCATATTGTTCTTTATTACAATAGACAGAATCGTAAAGTTTTGATAATGAACTTTGGTTCATTCGGTGAACTGTGTAGTGTGCTGGGCCTCAGGTGCAGCATACACTCGGGAGTAAAACAGACCTGGATATTGCTGGAACTTGTCGCTTTGGCAGTAGAGGGGAAGTAGGCTGAGTTAGCAGATGAAGCACAGACCTTAAATAGGTATGTATTATAATTGTGGTAAAAACTGAAAAGAAAAAAAAAATCAACCCTGACTCTTAAGTTATGGACATTTCGGTGGGAGCAGTCAGCCTAAGGGAAGGAGGTGAGGTCGATGTTCTACACAGGAAAAGCTGAGATAAGAAGCACTCTAGTGGAACCAGGTAGTTACAATGCAAAAAACCAGAATGAAAATGGAATAGAATGACTCTGGAGACCTCAGAGGGCCCTAATATTAAAGCTCCATCTGAAAATCTGAAAATTTTATTTTCACATAAGCAAAGGAGCATTAAATGCTATAAGCAAGGCAGTATCTTTATCACATGTAGATACTCAAAATATCCTTCCTCGGGCCTGGCACAGCAGCCTAACAGCTAAAGTCCTTTCCTTACACATGCCAGGATCCCATAGCAGCTGAAATCCTCACCTTGCACACGCTGGGATCCGATATGGGTGTTGGCTTGTCTCCTGGCAGCCCCTCTTCCCGTCCAGCTCCCTGCCTGTGGCCTAGGAAAGCAGTAGAGGATGGTCCAAAGCCTTGGGACCCTGCACCCATGTGGGAGAGCCTGAAGAAGCTCCAGAGTAGAGAAAGGTGTGAAGAGAACAGTTCAGGAAGCGACATCAGTTGTATTGGTAACCTTGATTACTTTGATGGTAGTGGAGGTGAAGTGGATGTTGATTCATAAGATGGAACATGAAGATTTCATAAATGACTGGGTTCTGACATGAAAGTCAAACAGATCATTACTGACATAACTATATGATAGAAGAATCCACTTAAGGCATTACATTTCAGGTGCTGGAGACATCCAGAAAAGTATTGGTGTTTGGAGCTAGAGACCTAAAATTGAAAGTAACTTGTGAGATAATACTTAACATAAGAATTGTAGCGAGTAAAGCTTCAAGTCAAATCCTGTAATTCATAACTTTATAAAAAGTAAAATACAGAGGAAATGGAGCTTGTAATGGAGAAATGAGAGACAGTCTGCAGCAGAATGTCACCAACAGGAAAGCTGCTTAGGTCAGTGGGTGGTTTATCAGTTGTACTCGAGGTATTGAAAATGGCTCAACTACTGTGTGAACTGACATGGAGGTCATTGATGACTTAGGAACTCTTTGAATGGGTTATAGAGTCAAAAAAAAAAAGCAGATTGGGAGCTATTGAATTCTTCAAAGAAAGAAGGGTTGTGTTCAGTGAATGATAACAAAGGGTAAAGTGGATAACAAAGGCTAGAAAAGAATGAAAATGTTAACAAAACTGTAAAGTCATGCTCTGAAACCTCTACCGGGAGCTGAAGCAAATACCAGTGCTCAGTTGCAAAGAGCTTGCAAGAATGACCTTTGTTCACTCAGCAGGACTGTTGAGAAAGCAGTCTGCTTGAAGTACAGCCAGGTTCTACCTTAAGCAGGACATTGAAGAGCAGTGTTTTCACGAGAGGTACAAAATGTGGGTCAGATTGTTGGCCATTAGAGGACTGCTTCCGCACAGCACCAGTGAAAGGTTCAGGAGTGGAATGGAAAAATTGGGAGAGTGAATAAACAGGAGGAACATGCAGAGCGAGTGCGCGGAGGACTGTCATCTCGCGAGCCCTGAGCCCTGGTCCCTGTCCAGAGCCCTTGCCATGCGTGTTTCAGAAGCAGGTGCAACAGTAAGCTGTGGTACAGCCTGCTCATCAGTGTTGAAGGAACTCAGTGATATGTCTACCACACAAAGAACTGCTCTCCTGCCCAGCTCCCCTTTCTGCTCCTCTCTTTCCACTAATGTATTTGCCCTTGTTCCCTTAAAGATGATGCATCTTACGGAGTTGGGACCATTTGGTTACAAATGGCAGAATTTTATTCTTTTTAATGGCTGAGTAATATTCCATGGAACAGATGTATCATTGTTTCTTTATCCATTCCTTTTTTTGAAGGGCATCTTGGTTGTTTCCATGTCTTAACTAATGTGGATTGTGTTGCTATAAATACAGGGTTGGAGGGCAGTTTTTCATATGCAGATTTCACTTCCTTTGGGTGTATTCCCAGAAGTGAGATAGCTGGGTCATTTGTTAGATCAATTTTCAGTTGTCTTAAACGCTCCATACTGACTTCCATTGTGACAGTACTAGCTTAAATCCCCAAAGGACAAATATTATATGTTCTCTCTTATAAAGTAACCTCCATGCAAAATACAAGATAGATAGAAACATAAACATGCATATACTTATGTTCTCATAGATGAACTGGAACCTAGCCTAATGGGAAAATGCTTGCACTATGCATCTCTACTCCTAAATAAAAGGACGACTGCCAATGAAACTTAAATATAGCTTGACAATAGGAACTAGACTATCTACCTTTGTCTATAGCCACAGTGCCGTGATTCAGCAAATAGAAGATTGTTGGATTTGTGACTCAAGGACTGTACTATTGTAATAATATGGGAGAATACAGTGGAGGAGGATGAGAGGGTGGAGGGGGGAATTGCTGTGTTTGTGAAATCGTATCATGAAAAATAATAATAAAGATGATCTGTTAGCCCTTCCCTTCTCTTTTGTCTTGTCCCCTGGCCATAGTTATCTCAAGGGCCACAGATGGCATTTGTGGCTAAGAAGAGGCAGCCCATCCTGAAGATAGACAGCATTGATCGTAGAAGGAACCAGCATGACAGGGAGCTGCTGTGTCAGGCTTCATGCAGTGAGGTCGAGGAAGTGGTTGTTACAGCTACCAGTAAACAGCACAGCCTGTAAGAAACTGAGTCATCGAGCCGTCAAACCCCAACACCTGTTGGCCTGTGGCAGCTTTCCTAGATTCAGGGGTGGTCAGGACAGTTACATTGCTGTTCTGTTAGAACACAATGTTTATTATGATCTTACGTTTCCTGTCTTTCATGAGTACTGATGAATATGTGCATTCCTTAAAACATCTTATAAAAAAAGATTATAGAATATACTTCATTTTTAGACTTATAAATTATAATTGCTTATACTTTAATAATTGCTTATATTTTTATGTTTACATATTAGCTTCTCTGTCGCCAGTGTCTACCACATCTGCCTTCTTACTGTCATCTGATTGCCTTCACACCCCTCCCCAGCACTTTCTCCTTGAAGCCAGCTGCTTATTTTCAGATTTTGTGTTACTCTGACTCTGAAACTCCCCTATTGTATTTTAAAATATAGAAAATATAAATCCATATAATTACTTACAATATTCTTTTCAGAAGTTTCAGCTATTGGTTCCAATTATTCCTAAACATAAGATTTTTCTTTTATATTACATTATCATTAGTGGGTGATTACCACCCATCCTTAATAAATAATATAGAAAATGCATAATTTTTAATCTCAGTTAAGCATTTACTTCATTTGAAATGTTTATAAGCATTCATGTGAGACATAAATAACATAATTTATACAGTAGCCATTAATCATAATTAATCTACAGATAAAAGAGATTTGATGATCATAAAGGAAGTAGTATAAGACTTTCTTCCTTCGTACTGCTTTTTAAAAATAAATATTGCACATTGTAAAGAATTCTTTAACTATAGAAATAAAATCTTGGAACCACAGCTGTTTCCGGGGGTCGATTCACTGACGTTAAAGTAATGTGTGTAACAACAGTGTGAGAGTATTCCTAAATGACCTTTGGAGCCTACTGGACTTTTCACAAAGTAAACAAAATTCCCCTTGCAAGTTCTGACAACTGCCTGGCATTCTGGATGGTGAAGTAGGCTTCCTGGCAGAACATTAACTCACGTGGCTTGTGCTCTGTCTCCTGTGTTTGGCTAAATTGCATACACAACATTTTTGTTAGTAGATGCCCTGACCTTACAATGAACAAATCCTTGTGTCATAAGAAGTTTCTGTCTAGGAGAAAATATACT